GCCTGAGGATGGGCAGTCCCCTGGGGTGCTGATGGCAGCCCTGGGCATTGCAGACTTTGCCTTTGTCTACGTTGCCTTGGCTATGCTGGCATGGAGGTGAGCTTGGTGGCATGTATCTTAAAGGGATGGGCTCCCTGATAACTTTTGTTAGCTGTTTTAAATCTACACTGGATGTAAAATTAACAGTTAATCTCTCAAAAGTTACTGTAGGTGCAGTTCAGGGTGTTTGGCCACCTTCCCTGTGGCTCTCTGTGCTCGGATGTTTGGGACAGAAAGGCGCCAAAGCTCTGAAGTGCTGGTGGTGGAAGCGTGCTGCTGGGTGTTGCTTGGCCCTGAGGAAGTGTTGGCGATTCGGGACTGTTGTGGAGGAACGACGAGCAGGAGTTGGGGCAGCGGGTGCAGTGTGTCAGCAGGGCTCCTGCGGTGTGGGCCCTGGGATGGGGGGAAGATGAAGTGTGGGGCAGGGGAGAGCCAGTCAGTGGCATGGCCATTTTGCTCTGTGCAGGGTTTGTGCCTTCTGCTCCTTGGCCAAGAGCTGGGAAGCTCCCACCCCGCAAAGTTGTCCTGGCAGCTCTTCCCCTTCCCCCCCGGCCAGTGGGGACCTCGATGCCTGCAAAATGAGAAAGGCTGAAATTTGGGGTATTGGGGGGGGTTGCCTGATTGTGGGTCCCTGCTGTAGCAGTCCCTTTGGGTGTCCCTGGGGGACAGAGCATCCCGTGCTGGCAAGAGGCAATGCCAGGCCCTGCTGGGCAGGGGCTGGTGCCAGAGCCGGCAGCAGCGATCGATGGGGCGGGCGGGCGCTGCCCCGGCTCAGGGTGCTCTTTGCCCCCTTGCTGTTTGTGGCTGGTGTGGGGGAGGTGGGGGAGATGTGCAGGCTGGTGAGGCAGTGCCAGGCAGCATCCCCGAGAATCCGTGTCCCCATGGGGACATCTGTTGCAGAGCGATTGGTGGCTGTGAGGCTCTGCCTCGCTCCCTGCCCGCAGGAAGAGCTGTGGGATGGCTGGTGTCTTCTTCCACGCTGCAGCTGGCAGCACCATCCCACCTGCACTCAGGCCAGGCATCTTGTGCCAGTGGGAGGGTGGCCATGTCCCAGCGCTGTGTGGCCCTGGGACAAGGCGCTGCTGATGGCCTGGCACCCTTGTGCTGAGCTGCCACAGCACTGTGGGGCTGGCAGAGGGCAGAACCGTGCTTGGCTCTCCCTGGGCCTCCAGCTCTGGCACAGCAGGACTGGGGTCAGGAGAGGTGTTGGCAAACCACAGCAGGGATTTCCTCCTCCTCCAGCTTCCCCGAGGCATGTACCTGGGCCACCATGCCAGGGCCACTGGGCAGGGTGTGAGGGACACGTGTGTCCCACGTGTCCCACGTGCCCTTGCTGGGGGCAGGTGGCAGTGGAACAAGAGATGAGAGGCACCATTTATACTGAGCAAAAGCGCTGGGGGATCCCAGCTGGCTGTCCCCATGGGTGAGGACATGGGCAGTGACCTCGGTGGGTGTCTGTGGACTGGCCTGGGGTGGGGGCTTGGCTTGGCCCCATGGGTCTGGTCTCACTCACCCACCAGTTCCATCTTGCCCGGCAACCATGGCTTTACCACCTGCGCTTCCCAGCTGTGGGCAAGGAAGTGGGTATTGAGTGACAAAGTCTGGAACCATGAAAAAGTTTAAGATGTTTCAGCTAGCCATAAAATGCTGTTGGAAAAGTCGGGCTGTTGATTCTCCAGGAGCTGAACCCCCTGCCTTGGGGCTCCTGTGGGCTGGCACCTGCTGCTGCTGGCTTGGTGGGCAGCACGGGCACCTGCAGGAGAGGAGGGAGCCTTCCTCCACTGGGAGCTCAGGGAGGTTTTAGGAGGCTGGGCTTGCCAGATTAGGGGTCTCTGGGTAGGAGCTCCCAGCCCCTGGTTTTCCGTCCCTCTGCCGCGCTGTGCTGGCCGAAAGCAACGGCTGCAGCTTTGGGGCATTCCTGGGAGCGGGCAGGAGGGATGGCACAGGGTTTTGGGTGTGGCGATGGACACAGCTGCTTCCACCTGGCCTGGCTACACCCATGGCAGGTGCCCAACTGGGCCATCAGGGTGAGCACATTTCCGTGTCCTGGGGACGCCGGTGGAGCAGTCCTGTCAAAGTCCACGGCCCATCACCCACTGTGCCAGGCTGGGATGTTTGCTCTCACTGTGTCCCATGGGGCTTGTCCCATGAGGAGTGTTTTTGGCCTGGCAGTATGGGAACTGTGTGTCCCCGGCTGGCACTGCTGCCTCATGCTCAGGCCGTGCAGTGCCTGATCCTGCTCGTTCCCCCCGCGGCGTAGCAGAGGGGGGGATGCTGGCATCAAGTTGCTGACCCAGTGCTCCAAGAAGCTGGGCATCCCCCTGCCTGGGGCCAGCACCCCACTGGCAGCACCCGCTGTGCCCTGCCTGCCTGGCTGAGGGAGGAGGGCTGGACTCCCCTGCCCCTGTGTCCAGCTGATGGCAGGGCTCGATGTGGGGTCCCAGCAGGCACACCACTGTACCACCATGCGTTGCAGTGGGAGGCAGACCATGCAAACCCCAGCAGCACCCACGGTCTCATCCTGCTCACTTCTCCGGCAGGTGGAGGTGAACTTGTGCCAGGGGGTGTGTATGGGGTGCATCGCTCTGGCAGCCCAGCTCTTGCCACTGCCCTCTGCTCCCCAGCCACTGCCACCTGGGTGCACACCCCAGCTGCTGCACCTGCACACCCCCAACTTCCCCCCCAGACAATGTGTGAGAGCCCTTGCCGAGGGAGGAGTGAAGAAGGGACTGAGAGGACAGGGCAGACCACACTGGTCGGCCGGGGCCATGGCCAGCTGCTGGCAGGCACCTGCTCTTCTCCCCTCCTTATCCCTCTCCTTCTCCCAGTGTTTCCCAGATGCCCGCATCCCAGCCTTTTCCCGCTTGCTTCCTCACACAATTATGCAGTGTCCTGAACCCACAGGCAGAGACCCCAGGCTATGCCAGTGTTGGGTGCCCCTCCAGCGGGGCTGAGGCTCCCTTAGGACAGCATCCCCCCACACCTGCTGCATGCCAGTGCCTCTGCTCCATTATGGGTGTGGGTCAGCCCTGGCCCCTCTGTGCCTGGGAAGCCCCCACAGGGGCAATCCTGGGGACAAAAGGGGCAGGATCTGTCCCAGAGGTGCAGGCTGGTGAGCCCTGCTCTGCTGCCTGCCACCTCTGCCCATCACCGTGTCACCTTGGGTGCTGGTGGTGGGGGACAGCCTGCCCTGGCACTGGGGTATGCAGTGATGCAGGAAGGGTCCAGGGCAGAGGACATCTTTGGGGAAGGAAACAAGCAAAAGGTCAATGACCCACTTTAAAGAAAATAAATAACACCAAGTAGGTCCCTCCTGTTGCTACCAAGGACCTGACACTCCCCAACGGAGCCTGGTACAGCCCGGCGTGGGTGTGGGGGGACAGTCCTACAGGCGCCTGGGCACAGAGGCCCAATTGTGTGCCTGGTAAACAGGCAGGGAGGTGCAGGCAGTGAGTGGCAGGGCGGGAGCCATGGGGCGGGCAGAGTGGCTTGGGGAGTCCCCCCATCGATGGTGGGACTGTGCCTGGGACTGGTGGTGCCGAACAGATGGGGATCCCCTGACACTGCTCCTGGGGTGTTTGCCATCCCCATCCCCTCCAGCCTTTCTTCCTCCAGTCTCTGCCTCCCCCAAAATCAGCAGCTCTGGGAGCAGGGAGGGCAGCACTAGGGGTGCCAAGCCCGTCCCGCAGCCCTGCCAACAACAGTGCCTGCAGGAGCGCCACAGCCACACGCTGGCAGGGTCCAGGTGTGGGGGTACTTCTGTTTGCTGCTGTTTGCTGGGCTGCTGTGACTTTCTGGCAGAGCGTTTGCAGCCCCTGAGTGAGGCCACTGTGGAGGTGATGCTGTTGGGGACAGGAGGGCCTGACCCTGTCACTTGTGGCCAACTGTGGCCTTCCATGCAGCCCCTGTTGTTTTAAAGCCCTCTCTTCCCACCCTGCCGGCATTCCCCTCAAGCTCCTGGTCACTGCAGGTGCCTGGGCTGGTGTGGGAGCATGGTCAGAGGTGCCAGCGCCGTAGTGGGCACCTTCCCAGCAGTGAAGCTGGGGTGTCCCCTGCCTGTGGTGGCAGCAGGTCCTGGGGTCTGATGTGGCCCTGAAGCAAGCTGAAGTTGCCTCTCCTCAGCTTGTGCCTCAGCTTCCCCACCTACAGTAGTTCCCCTCCACTTGGCAGTGGGGGTGATAGGGCCGTGATGTGGCCTGGGCACTCCTGGTGCAAAGTGGCTGCACTGGCAGCATGTCAGGTGCCCATCCTCAAGGCCTCTGGGCACAGAGCCCAGCCTGGGCTGCCTGCGCAGCTGGGGTCAGGGATTCCTGGGGATTTTCTTGTGAATCACCATGTGCCACCAGTGGAAATCCTGCGCAGCTGTAGCCTTCCAGGAGGGCATGGAGGGGGTGCTGGGACCCCCCTGCACTGCCCCTGGGTGCACCCAATGCCAGGGCCTGGTCAAACTGATCCTTGCCCTGATGGTCTTGTGGTTTGCCCTAGCAAGGTCACACGGGTGGCACCCAGCAGTGGCACGGGTGGCAGGGGGATGTCATGCCAGGCAGCTTCCAGCTGTGAGGGCACTGTCAGGATGGGGGCCCACAGCTCTTTGCTGGCTATAAGGTCTTGGGGTCATCTCCCCTGGGCAGCCCCAGCTGCGGTGGCCTGTCAGGGCTGGGCTTAAGCCCTGGCACCCTGTTTGCGTTGCTGGAGTAGGAGTCCATCCCCTCTCTGTGGTACCCTCTCTGTCCCGAGGAGTCCCAGTCAGGATGGGGCAAGCAGGAGTTCATTGGGTGACCAGGGACCCGTTTGCCTCTCTGGCTGAGCTGTGACAGTGCCACCAGCCAGCTACAAGACACAGGCTCAGTGCCATACTGCACTGGGGCCCTGGGGATCCCTGTCCTGTCCTGCCTGTTCTCATCCTTGGTAGCTGGGTCCTGTCCCCAAGCATCATGCTCTGCTTTGTGTCATCCCCAGTGGGTGCTGGCCTTTGAGATCTTCATCCCCCTGGTGCTCTTCTTCATCCTTCTGGGGCTGCGGCAGAAGAAGCCAACCATCCCTGTGAAGGAAGGTGAGTGCAAGCGGGATGGTGTCCAGGGTACCCACACCTGGGAACACCCTGAGTCGCTGGGGAGCTGCTCCAGCACCCTGTGGTCAGCCTGAGGGGAGGCGGGGGCTGCGACAGCTGGTGGGGACTCAAAGCCTCTTCTGGGGGAGATAGTGCTGGGCAGGGGCTGCCTCCAAGGGCTGACGGGGCAGATATGGGGCAGTTGGAGATGCAGAGTCAGTCCCAGCCTGGGGTGCCTCCCCTGGAGGTGGTAGCGCCAACCAGCCTGTGACTGCCATCAGCAGGGACGTTCTGTGGGGAGAAAGAGGAGATGGAGCTGGATGGTGCTGGGAAAGCCACAGTCCCCCCCAAGTGCTCTGGGAAGCGCTCCCCAGCTTCTCATGGTGCTTGGGGAGGTTGGGGAATGTACTGTGTGGAGCCCCACACCTGGCTATGGGGGTGCTCTGGGGCCTTGGCAACGTGGCAAATGGATGGGACTGGAGCTGGAGACACCTGGAGATGTGCAGCCAGGCTGCAGGTGCCCCGGCAGAGGCAGCAGAGAGGAGCTGCCAGCTTGCCAGGGCTCCATGCAGCATCGAGACACCTCGTGGGATGCTCACCCCAGCAGGTGCCCCTGTGCTGGTGGGGTGAGGGGGAGATGCTGAGAGCTGGTAGCGGTGACCTGGTGTAACGATGGTCCAAGCCTGTGTTTCAGTGAGTTCCGGCGAGGGAGAGCCCAGCTGCGGGCCGTGGTGGGCACTGCCCTGGTTCCTGCCCTGGTGCTGACATGTGCTCTGTGTTGTGTGGTTTTTTGGTTTGGATTTTCGGTTTGGTTTTTCTTTGTTTGCTCACATTTTCTTTTTCTTTCCCACCATCTCCCCTGCCCGCCTGCCCTCCATGCCTCTACTGCATGCGCCAGTCTGTAAGTTGGTGGGGTGGGTGGGTGCTTCCCCCTTCCCCTACCTGTGCCGACTATGTGTTTTGGGCAGGAGCCCAGTTTGGATCAACTCACTATGGCCTAATCCACACCTCTGTAACCCCATCACCTTCCTCTGTGTCTGGTGAAGATTAGCTTGGGCAGCACAGCGTGGCCCCTGCCTGCTCCTCCCCAGGGGCTCCCCAGCCAGGACCAGCCTGTGGTGGTGTCCCCACTGAGTTGGTGGCATCCCCACTGGGTTCTTCCCCAGGTTCTGGGGCTGCTGGCAGTGATGTCCCTGTACCCCCAGGCTGCAGAGGGCTCTCCAGGCCAGGTGGAGGCTTGTTGTACCCCTTCTTTTTGCCTCCCTCCTTGAGCAGACCATGCTGGGTGCATGGTAGTGGCCTGGGGTCACCCATTCTTGCCCATGCCCTCCCCAGGCTGGTCCCCAAGTGGCTGGAGATGGCTCCCTCCCCTGCATCACCACTGGGTCCCCGTCAGGGCCCCTTGCAGCTGGGACGAGCAGGGGATGTGGCACTGCTAGGAGCCTGGAGGCCAGCAAGATACCACCCATACACTGGCTTTGTCACCAAAGCATGGCATGGCCGCCACCATCTGTCCCACCACCCCAACAGGCTGCTGGCCTGTCTCCTGTTTACACCTATCCCTGCCCTGGCCTGTCCCTTGTCCCTGCCAGAAGCCCATCTTCACCAGCCCCTGCCTGTCACAACCGAGCTAACAGCACTGACCTGCTTCTAACCATGTGGCCACCAGCCAGGATAGTGAGAGCAGGGTCCCTGCCCCGTGCCACCCAGTGACAACTCTGATCCCCTTCTGGGGGCCCTGGCGGAAGGACATGGAAAGACCCTTTGGAGTCCCCATCCTCCCACAGAGGGACGATGGCTCAGTGCCGGTGGAGGGGGGGAAGGTTTCCTGTGCCCTTGCTGTTCCTCGTTTCTTCCATCTTCCCCCAACTGTGTCTCCATTTTCACCCATGTCCAGCAGCCGTATGTCAGGGCAGCCGGGCAGCTGGGAAGCCAGGGGCTCAGGGAGCTGCAGGTTACAACTCTACTTCCCCTGTCATATTCTTCCTCCTTCTATTCCTCTGGAGATCTGGCAATGCCTCTGAAATTACTAACAAGAGGAGCCAAGAGGCCAGGGGAGGTTGGCAGCCTGGGGGCAAGTGGCAGAAGTCAGCATCGTACTGGGCTGGGAGGGATCCGTCACCCAGAGGGCAGCAGGAAAGGGCAAGAGGGCAGGAGCCAGGATGGCAGGACCTGCCCACAGCCACAAGGGGCTACCAGCCGGGGACGGCCTGGGTGGGAAAGCTGCAGACTTCTGACCTTGGCCACCAACCTCCCACGGGGCTCGCATGGCCCAGCGTGTGCTTCTCTGAACTGAGTGTCTGTCTTTCTGGTGGCCCCTGCCTCCCCCCGCCTCTCCTCCTTCCCTGCCCACACCTTCCCCGGCCTCTTCTGCGCTCTCTCGCTGGCTCCAGCTTTCTACACGGCGGCCCCGCTCACCTCGGCTGGGATCCTGCCCATCATGCAGTCCCTGTGCCCCGACGGCCAGCGTGATGAGTTCGGCTTCCTGCAGTATTCCAACTCCACGTGAGTCGCACGCTCGCCGCGCGCTTCCTTGTCCCTTCCTGCATGCTCCTGCACACAGCCTGCCCCTTCCCATGTTGGCACTGCCCCGCCGAGGACAAGGAATGAGCCCCTGTTCCCCAAAGCACTTGAGTGTAGAGTGCTGTATCCCAGGGGTGCAGGGGACATCTCAGCCTGTTCCCCTGCAGGCTCCTGGGTGCCCAGTGCTGGGAGGAAGATGGATGTGGCCCTCAGGGACACCTTGAGGCTCTTGGGCTCTCCCCTGTGCCCCTGGCATGGTGGATTTGGTGCATAGGCAAGGGCAGCTCCTGGGGCAGTGGTATCCCATGGCAGGCAGCACTGCTGACCTGTGCACCAGAGGGGCTCGTTCACACCAGAGCTCTGTGGAAGGTGTCCCCATCCCTCTGTCCATGTCCCTGAAGCCGTGGCGGTGCTGGGCTCTTGCAGGGTGACGCAGCTCCTGGAGCACCTCAGTGAAGTGGTGGAGCAGAGCAGCCTCTTTGACCCGCAGCATGCGGGGTTGGAGGAGGAGCTGGAGTCACTGCGCCGGCGCCTGGAGGCACTCAGCAGCAGCGAGCCCAGCTCCATGGAAACACACTTCAGCAACCGAGCGGGTAGGCTGTGTCCTGCCTGGCCCCACTGCCTGCGCAGGCAGGGGTGCAGATGTCCCCTCGCCAGGCATCCAGTGATGTGGTGGCATGTGGCAGTGCCCTGCCACCGTCCCACATAGCTGAGTGCTGGGCCAGGCCAGCTGTGAAAGGTCCCTGCTTGGGGCTCTGCCGTGTCCCCAAGGCTGGCAGGCTGCTCTGAACTCCTTGCCTTGCTCTTGCCAGGACCTGGCTTCACGTTGGGGTGGGCGGCCAAGGACCAGGGCGAGCTGCACCGCTTCCTGACGCAGAACCTGTCCCTCCCCAACAGCACGGCTGAGCTGCTCCTGGGCTCCAGCATTGACCTGCAAGAGGTGGGTGACAATCTGTGGGAGGTGGGTCACAGCCTTTGGCAGGTGGGTGATGGCCTTCAGGAGGTGGGTGGTGACCCACAGGAGGTGGATGGCAACCTGTGGGAGGTTTGTAACAGCCTTTGGGAGGTGTGAGACGACCTGTGGGAGGTGGGTGGCAGCACAGCGCTGTAGGGCCAGCTTTGCAGGAGTCCCCATTGCCCCAGCAAATGGGCAAGTCCCAACCCAGAGAGTCCTGACCACCAGACCTGCAGAGGGAGATCAGTGGGCACCCGGCCAGGACTCATCCTGCCTTGCCACCTCATGCCGGGGCATTGCTGGGCAAACGGGTGCCTCTGCTCCTGACATGCTCGGCAGCCGCGGTTCTGTCCTCGGTGCAGGTGTACCGCCTGTTTTTTGGTTCCTTTCCTTTGGTACCCGATGAGACCCATGAGCGAGACCTGTGGGATGGGTTTGGCCCCGGTGAGATGACGCAGCTGGAGGTGAGGAGCAATGCTGCATGTCGGGGATGTAGCGGGGCAGAGCAGAGCTCATCCTGTGCATCCCATCCATGTTCCACCACAGGGCAATCTGGGGGTGTCCATCCTGACAAAGGGAATGTGATGGGACACTGTCAGGTGGCCAGAGGAGCAGCAGGGATGGCTGGGTCCCATCCCAGTGCTGACACCAGTTCCCCCAGTGCTTTGAGGCCCTCCAGTGCCTGTGCCTCAGTTTCCTATTGCAGTGGGTGATGGCACCACCTGGACGGTGGCTGTGGAGGGAGGGGGGGAGATTGTTCTCTCCTGTGGCTGGGGTGCAGGGGACCCATGCTTCCCTAGCTGCACATTCCCTTTTCTTCCCTTCCCTTCCCCACGGAGACTCTGGACACGGGGGCTGTGGGGCCATTCACGTGTGCTTGGGGGGACACATGGAGGGGGACCCTAGGACCCCCCTCTTCCCTCCTCCCCCCCCATATCTTGGTCCTCTTGCAGAAGAGCCTCCCCAGTGGCTGGAGGAACCTGCAGGAAGGGCTGGTCCACAGGGCACTGCAGGACCCGGCAGCAGCCCCACACCGGCCGGCGCTGCTCCGCCTGCTCTCCCAGGCCCTGGGCCTCGCCAGTGCTGCCCTGGCACCCACCAGCTCTGACAGCCCCCAGGCCTTTGTCACTGAGATGGAGGTGAGGCCCTCACGGGGGGAGCCAGGGCGTGTGGGCAGCTGCTCTGCCAGGGTGGGCACCGCTGCTGTGCCCGTGTGCCCAGGGTTGCGTCCCCATGGCTCCCTGCCCCATAGGGTGTCCTCTTCACCGGGCCGGTGCTGGAGCAGCTGACGTGTCAGCAGAGCCCGGGGGGGCTGCACCACCTCCTGCACGTGGCCCCTGGGCAGCAGCCGCTGCTGCAGGCATACCGGGCACTGGCCTGCAATGGCAGCCGGGCTGCCCGCCGGGAGCGCTTCGCCCAGCTGGCCACCGAGCTTCAGGACCAGCTGGACACCCCCAAGATCGTCAGAAGGGTGAGAGCGGGGCTGAGGGATGGGCCTCTCGCCAGCTGGGGGGCAGGGACAAGTTCTGGGCAGGGTTTCCCTATTCACTGGGTATGTGTGGGGTTGGGGGCTCTGTTACACGGGCTGGTTCCTCTTGGTCACCCCTTTACCCAACATGTGCCCCCTCTGCCCAGCCCCATGGTGGGGCCCCAGATGATTCTGCCTCTTGGCACCTGCTTGGACACTGCATCCCCCAGTATCCTCCAAGCATGTCCCCGCAGGCTCCTCTCCCCAGCACTGACAATGTCCCTGGTGGCACAGCTCCTCCAGGCTGGCTCTGAGGTCCCTCCCCTCATGCCACCCAAGTCTGATGTGTCCCTCGTGGTCACAGAGCACCACCCTTTCTGCCTGAGTGGCATCTTGTGTCCCCCAACAAGACCCTGCCAACATTGAGGTTGGACTTGATGATCTCAGAGGTCCCTTCCAACCATGGTGATTCTGTGATTTGCCTGCATTCCCGTTGCCTGATAGCCGTGGATGCACAGCAATGAGTCCAGGGTTCCAGCTCCAATCTTTTGACCATGAAAGTGGACATGCCACTGCTTGAGGTCCCCCTTGCTCCTCTTCCGCTGGTGAGCAGGGCACTGTTGCCCTGGCCACAGGTAACCCATTGCCTGCTCATCCTTGCAGCTGAAGCTGGATGAGGTGAACAGCACGGCCACCCAGCACCGCCTCCGTACCCTCTTGGAGGACCTTCCCCACGGAGACTCTGGACACGGGGGCTGTGGGGCCATTCACGTGTGCTTGGGGGGACACATGGAGGGGGACCCTAGGACCCCCCTCTTCCCTCCTCCCCCCCCATATCTTGGTCCTCTTGCAGAAGAGCCTCCCCAGTGGCTGGAGGAACCTGCAGGAAGGGCTGGTCCACAGGGCACTGCAGGACCCGGCAGCAGCCCCACACCGGCCGGCGCTGCTCCGCCTGCTCTCCCAGGCCCTGGGCCTCGCCAGTGCTGCCCTGGCACCCACCAGCTCTGACAGCCCCCAGGCCTTTGTCACTGAGATGGAGGTGAGGCCCTCACGGGGGGAGCCAGGGCGTGTGGGCAGCTGCTCTGCCAGGGTGGGCACCGCTGCTGTGCCCGTGTGCCCAGGGTTGCGTCCCCATGGCTCCCTGCCCCATAGGGTGTCCTCTTCACCGGGCCGGTGCTGGAGCAGCTGACGTGTCAGCAGAGCCCGGGGGGGCTGCACCACCTCCTGCACGTGGCCCCTGGGCAGCAGCCGCTGCTGCAGGCATACCGGGCACTGGCCTGCAATGGCAGCCGGGCTGCCCGCCGGGAGCGCTTCGCCCAGCTGGCCACCGAGCTTCAGGACCAGCTGGACACCCCCAAGATCGTCAGAAGGGTGAGAGCGGGGCTGAGGGATGGGCCTCTCGCCAGCTGGGGGGCAGGGACAAGTTCTGGGCAGGGTTTCCCTATTCACTGGGTATGTGTGGGGTTGGGGGCTCTGTTACACGGGCTGGTTCCTCTTGGTCACCCCTTTACCCAACATGTGCCCCCTCTGCCCAGCCCCATGGTGGGGCCCCAGATGATTCTGCCTCTTGGCACCTGCTTGGACACTGCATCCCCCAGTATCCTCCAAGCATGTCCCCGCAGGCTCCTCTCCCCAGCACTGACAATGTCCCTGGTGGCACAGCTCCTCCAGGCTGGCTCTGAGGTCCCTCCCCTCATGCCACCCAAGTCTGATGTGTCCCTCGTGGTCACAGAGCACCACCCTTTCTGCCTGAGTGGCATCTTGTGTCCCCCAACAAGACCCTGCCAACATTGAGGTTGGACTCGATGATCTCAGAGGTCCCTTCCAACCATGGTGATTCTGTGATTTGCCTGCATTCCCGTTGCCTGATAGCCGTGGATGCACAGCAATGAGTCCAGGGTTCCAGCTCCAATCTTTTGACCATGAAAGTGGACATGCCACTGCTTGAGGTCCCCCTTGCTCCTCTTCCGCTGGTGAGCAGGGCACTGTTGCCCTGGCCACAGGTAACCCATTGCCTGCTCATCCTTGCAGCTGAAGCTGGATGAGGTGAACAGCACGGCCACCCAGCACCGCCTCCGTACCCTCTTGGAGGACCTGGTGGAGATGGAGAAAGTTCTCCGTGATGTGGACATCCTCTCAGCACTGGCCAAGCTGCTGCCCAGGGGAGCCTGTGCCAGCAAGGCCCCACTGCCCACTGCCAACAGCACCGGCTGGGCCAGTGCCAATGCCACAGCTGGCAACGCCACAGTGGAGGAGGAGGCTGCTGGGGGGGACCCGGCTGGCGGTGACAACCCCCAGGGACAGTTCTCAGCATTTGTGCAGCTCTGGGCCGGGCTGCAGCCCATCCTCTGTGGCAACAACCGGTAGGAGCCCCAGGGGCTGCAGGGTGCTCTCTGGTTGGGACAGGGGTGTGGGGAGCCCACCCTGCCTCTGCCAGTGGCCAAGGGCCCTGGTCATCCATACTGAGCACATGAGAGCTGGATGCTGCACTGCATCCTTGTGCCGCAGCCGGGGAAGCTGCCTGTACTGAGCAGCACCATGGTGGCATGGGAGTCAGTGTGAAATCCCCTCCCGGGCAGGGTGGGGGCTGCCTGCAGTGCTGGGGCTGGAGCAGATTTGGCAGCTGGAGCCCCCTTTGCAGGACGATCGAGCCTGAGGCGCTGAAGCAGGGCAACATGAGCTCACTGGGCTTCACCAGCAAGGAGCAGCGAAACCTGGGCCTCCTCGTGCACCTGATGACCAGCAACCCCAAAATCCTGTATGCACCAGTGGGCACCGAAGTGGACAAAGTCATCCTGAAGGTGAGGGTGCAGAGACCGTCCTTCCTCTCCCACCAGTCCCACTCTACAGGGACCTTGCCCAGATGGGCCCAACAGGGCCAGGGCTGAGTGGGGAGGAAGGGGCGAGCTGCTAGCAGCAGGCAGCTGCCCTGACCCTTGTTGGAATAGCGATGCCTGCTGGGAGGTGGGCAAGTACCTCTGTGGCTCTAAGCCATTCTAGAGAGCAGGGGAAAGCCTATGTCTTCCCATGGTGTGACCTTCCTCCCAGGCCAACGAGACCTTTGCCTTTGTGGGCAATGTCACCCACTATGCCAAGGTGTGGCTGAACATCTCCCCTGAGATTCGTGCCTACCTGGAGGAGGGCAGGCTGCAGAGGCGCATCCGCTGGCTCCAGCAGGTAGGAGAGTGTGGTGGGGACCGAGCCTGCCTGGGCTTTACTGCCCCGGAGGTGGGAAGTGGGGGTCCTACCTCTAGGTACCTCATAGCTTCTTCATGTGAAGCTCTCAGGTGCCCACCCTGCTCTTGCAAGTACCAGGCCGGTTCCCTGTGCAGAGTGGGTGCTGTCCCCCCATCCCCAGGAGGAGTCTTGGGTCCTCTCTGTGTCCGTGGGGAGGACATGGGGCTGAGAGGCAGGGTGTACCCCAACTTCTCCTTCCTTCCTCTAACCCAGTTCACTGCTGACCTCCACAAGCACCCAGAAATCCTGAATGTTTCTGACAGCGATGTTCTCCACAACTTCCTCAGTGGCAACTTCTCCCTGCCCAATACCAGTGTCCTGCTCCAGCAGCTGGACACCATCGACAATGCTGCCTGTGGCTGGGTCCACTTCATGGCCAAGGTGAGGTTGTGCCTGCTTGTGGAAACATGGGTACTGGAGTGGAACCAGCCACCTGAAGCTGGGCTCTGTGGGGCTTAAGAAGGAGTCAGATTTGCTCAGACCTCTTTAAGGACATGGGACAGGAGCCCTGGAGGAGATAGCGGTTTCTGCAGCGTAGGGAGCTTTGGGGTAGTTGTCAGCAGTGGAGGTGCCCATCTACTATTGGGTTCAGGGGCTTGCAGGGTGGCTGTGGGTGACACATGCTGCACCATGTGCAGGATCCACGTACTAGACCCATCAGGGGCAGTGAGGTCTTACTGGCCTTCCCTTCCGGCTAGGTCAGTGTGGACATCTTCAAAGGCTTCCCAGATGAGGAGAGCATCGTCAACTACACGCTGAACCAAGCCTACCAGGACAACGTCACGGTTTTTGCCAGTATGTCCCTGGGAATCAGCCCCTTTGCAGGTGTCCCTGAGGCCATGTCCTTCTCCAGCTTTTCCCTGGGCTGGAGCTGCTGGCCTTAGGATGTGGTTCCCTTGGTGCATGTGTTGGGTGGATGAGCAGACCGAGCATCTTGCGGTACCCATCCTCTGCCCCAGGCCGAGCCCTGCTGAGTGCAGCACTCTGCCGCTCTCCTGGCTCTCCCACCACTGCTGCCTGCTGTCCATGTGCCCTCCCACCCCGTGTCAGGGCCATGCCCACACTCCTCATCCATGGCAGCTCTGATGAGGCCCTTGGCTGGGACGTGCTGAACCCTTCCATGTCCCTTGCCTGTTGCTGCGGACTGGCCAGTGGGGCCATCTCCCATGGTGCCAGCGGGCTACCTGCCTCTTCTGCTGCCTGCAGGCGTCATCTTCCAGACCAACAGGGACGGCTCACTGCCCCCCCACGTCATGTACAAGATCCGGCAGAACTCCAGCTTCACCGAGAAGACCAATGAGATTCGGCGAGCGTACTGGCGGCCCGGCCCCAACACTGGTGGCCGCTTCTACTTTCTCTATGGCTTTGTCTGGATCCAGGGTGAGTGTCAGCTCCCTGCCACAGCTGCCCTCCTCCCTGGCCCCTTCCTGTGCTTCCTGCTCAGATTGGCATCTCCTCCTCAGACATGATGGAGCGCGCCCTCATCAACACATTTGTTGGCCATGACGTGGTGGAGCCCGGCAACTATGTGCAGATGTTCCCTTACCCGTGTTATACCCGGGACGAGTGAGTAGCACCCACGTGGGCAGGGTGGGCAGGACCTTCCCTCTTCCTCTTTGCAGGCCAGAACACTTCAGGTGGGAAAAGGAAACAGGTCTGGGGGCCTGAGAGAGGTTGGTGACATTAGAAGTGATGAGCGACAGTAAAGCCCTGTTCCTTGGACCACCAGGCTAGGCAAGCAGGGGAGGGATTTTGTGCCCAGTTTGCAACTGAAGTGAGGAACTCATGGCTGTGGGGTATCTTGGAGACTGAAAGACTTGGGGAGAGCAAGAGGAGTGTGGTAAATGGATGTCACATGGATCTGTCGGTGGTTATTGAACACAGTGGTCTGGAGGACCTAGAGAAGTCCTAGAGCTACCAGCCCTCCAGGGCAGGTGGGTGGGTAGGGCCCTGTCCAGACCAGGGTAGGCAGGGCACCAGGCTGATCCTGCGGCTGCTGCCCACCTGCCTGCCAGGACCTGACGGCCAGGACACTAGACTGTCCTGTGGGCTCATTGGAGAAGCTGTTTCAGGGCAGTAAGAAGTGACTGGACCAGAGGGCTGGTTGTCCCTCGGTGGTGGGAGAGCCCTTCCACTGCCCTACTGCCCCAGAGTCTCCTTGGGTCTCTGTGGTGCTGCCACCATTCAGGTCTCCCCTCTCTTCCTCTATCCCTCCAGCTTCCTCTTCGTTATTGAGCACATGATGCCCCTGTGCATGGTGATCTCCTGGGTCTACTCGGTGGCCATGATGATCCAGCACATTGTGACAGAGAAGGAGCATCGCCTGAAAGAGGTGGGGATGGTGGGAAAGATCCCTGAGGAGGAGCTGGCATCTCTGAGCTCTAAGTTCTGCACTGCATCCCTGGGCACCTTCCCCTTGTCTCTGGGCGCGTGAGCTGGGGTGGGTGCAGATCCCACATCCCTGGGCTGAGCTGGTCCTTCAGGTGTCTCTGGCATGAACCCTTCCCAATGCTGGAGGGAGCTGGGCCCCTTGGCAGCCTGGCACAGGGTGCTGTGGCCTGTCCGCTCCCAGCAGCCATGGGGACCCCTCAGCCCAGCCTGTGTCTCCCGCAGCCCCAGCGAGGGAGGCTGTGGGGATAGGCAGGGTGGGCACAACCCCGCTGAGCAGTGTTGGCCTTGCAGGTGATGAAGATGATGGGCTTGAACAATGCGGTGCATTGGGTGGCTTGGTTCATCACTGGCTTTGTCCAGCTCTCCATCTCGGTCACAGCGCTCACTGCCATCCTGAAATACGGCAAGGTCCTGATGCACAGCGATGTCCTCATCATCTGGCTCTTTCTTGCCATCTACGCAGTGGCCACTATCATGTTCTGGTGAGCTGCCTGGACCACTCTGTGGGGTTGGGGGGCACGAGCAGTGCTGGCATCCTTGTGCTATGGGGCAGGGGTGCCAGGAGCTCTGTGGGCAAGGGCTGGTGTAGGGCCACAGCCAGCTGATTTGAGGGCCAGTTTCTCACCTCAACACCACCAAAGTCAGATGGTGTGGGGAAAGTCCTGGTGGAGTAGGATCCAAGGTGATGCTGTCCTCCCTGCAGCTTCCTGGTGTCAGTGCTCTACTCCAAGGCTAAGCTGGCCTCTGCCTGTGGCGGTATCATCTATTTCCTTAGCTACGTGCCCTACATGTATGTGGCCATCCGGGAGGAGGTGGCACATGACAAGATCACAGCCTTTGAGAAGTGCATTGCGGTGAGTTGGCTGATGCTGCTGGGGTGGTATTTGGCTCCAGGTTTGCCCCAGGCACCCTGTGTACAAGCCACCAAGCTATCACCAAGCCCTGGGCAAACCTCTGCCTGTATGAACCAACTCCCCATGGGGCTTTGGAGGCATCTCTAGAAGGTTTGGCACCTCCAGGGCAGGGAACATCTTCATGGGGCTGGGTGGAGCAGCACTGGGTAGGAATTCACCCCAACCTGTTCATCCAGAGCAGGCCTGTGGTTCCTGCTGATGTCCCCTTCCCTCCACCTCTCCACAGTCTCTCATGTCCACCACAGCCTTCGGGCTGGGCTCCAAGTACTTTGCACTGTACGAGGTGGCCGGTGTGGGCATCCAGTGGCATACCTTCAGCCAGTCACCTGTGGAAGGAGACGACTTCAACCTCCTGCTGTCCATGATGATGCTGATCGTGGATGCTGTGGTGTATGGTGTGCTAACATGGTATATTGAAGCTGTGCATCCAGGTATGTGCGGGCAGTGGGGCATGAGGGCACCTCTGATCTTGTGGGAGCCTCTTGGACATGGAGAGATTTGGCACAACTTACCTTCAGGGTCCCCTGCCTGTGTCCTGTTGGGGACACCTGCCCACATGCTCTGACCCATTGGTGACACCAGCAGGTTCTTTGGAGATACTTCAGTTGCATGTCTCAGTTCACTGGCCAACTGTAGCAAAATAAGGTGTCCATGGCTGGAGCACTGCTTCACCTAATCGCTCACCTGGGGAAGAGTCTCACCCACTAACTTTGCTTTCCTGGCAAAAGTGTGAGCCAGGCCCAACCCAAATCCCAAAGGACTTTGCTTCCTTGCACAACCCCACAGCATTACCCTGAGCCCAGTTGGCCAAGGCATTTGGAGCCCCTACCCCACAGTGATGTCCCAGGGCTGGGGAGACCTCCAAGCCCATGCCCATTCCTCTGTGCCAAGCTCTGCCCCAGCCCTCAACTGGCTTCTGCATGGACATGGGTTCAGGGTTGACCCTGACTCCAAAGGGGTTGTGCTTGCAGGCATGTTCGGCTTGCCACGGCCCTGGTACTTCCCCTTCCAGAAGTCCTACTGGCTGGGCAATGGGCGAGTGGAGACCTGGGAGTGGACCTGGCCCTGGTCCCGCACCACTCGCCTCAGCATCATGGAGGAGGATCAGGCCTGCGCCATGGAGAGCCGGAGGCTGGGTGAGGGCACAGGCATGGTGTGGTGTGGCCCTCGCTCTGCTGCAGGGTCCTGCATGGACCCGCGTGCATCTCCTGTGCCCTTGTCAGGGCAAGATCCTGGGCCAAACGCTGCTTCCTGTCTGGGAGCTGCTGCCCATGGTGCAGGAAGGGGGAAGCTATTGAGAAGCAGAGGGGAAGGGGCTGTGAGCCAGCACAGCCACTATGGCATGGAGGGGGAGAGGTTCATCCCCCAAGGAGCCCTGCTCCAAGTCTGGCCTTCCTGCCACCCCTCGGCTCCTCACCACCCTGCTCTTGCCACAGAGGAGACACGGGGCATCGAGGAGGAGCCCACCCACCTCCCCTTGGTCGTCTGCATTGACAAGCTCACCAAGGTCTACAAGACAGACAAGAAACTGGCATTGAACAAGCTGAGTCTCAACCTCTATGAGAACCAGGTGGTGTCCTTCTTAGGGCACAATGGTGCAGGCAAGACCACCACCATGTGAGTACCTGTCGGGGCAGACATGGGCTGTGTCCTTTTCCTGGCCAGCTGCAGTGGGTGGGGAAGGTGTTGTGTGATGTCCTTGCAGCTGATGCCATGCCCAGAGAGCAGCAGTGTGGATGTCGGGGTGGCACAAAAAGGGGGACAGGCAGCAGGCACATGACCTTGCCCTGACATTGCTCTACCTGGGGCCCAGCAGATGCTACTGGAGGTGGTGGTTGGGACTGGGACCAGATGGATGAATATGAGGTCCCCCTCACATTGTTGCCTTTCTCCATCCATCTAGGTCCATCCTCACCGGCTTATTCCCTCCAACCTCGGGCTCTGCTACCATCTACGGCCACGATATCCGGACAGAGATGGATGAGATCCGGAAGAACCTGGGCATGTGTCCTCAGCACAATGTGCTCTTCGACAGGCTGACGGTGGAGGAGCACCTCTGGTTCTACTCGCAGCTCAAGAGCATGGCGGAGGAGGAGATCCGCAAGGAGATGGACAAGTAGGCACTTCCAGCTCCTTTTGCCCCATCTGAGCCTTTTGTGTGTGTAGGTACTTTTCCTGCTGGCTGTGCTGTGGTGGGTGATCTGGGAGCAGAGATGTCCCCTGGAGCAGTTCCAAGTGTTTTCCAAACTTTGGGGTATCAGGCTGTGATATCTAGCAGAAGAAGCTTCTGTGGCCTGGCTGTAGCTGGGCTGTCAATGGCTGAGAGCCATGGGACACATGGGGAAGAGGCATCACATGTTCCCCGTATGCACCAGGTGCCAGTACGCCCCCCCGGCATCCCTGGTGTTTCTCCCTTGTCCCCAGGATGATTGAGGACCTGGAGCTCTCCAACAAACGCCACTCTCTGGTGCAGACCCTCTCAGGGGGCATGAAGAGGAAGCTGTCAGTGGCCATCGCATTTGTGGGTGGGTCACGTGCTGTGATACTGGATGAGCCTACGGCTGGCGTGGACCCGTACGCACGCAGGGCCATCTGGGACCTGATCCTCAAGTACAAGCCAGGTGAGCAGAGGTGGGCAGAGCCCAGCATTGGTCCTCTGACTGCGGTGGCCCTGGCCTCTGATGAGGCTCTGTGCCACTGTCAGGGAGGACCATCCTGCTCTCCACGCACCACATGGACGAGGCTGACCTACTGGGTGACCGCATTGCCATCATCTCTCATGGCAAGCTGAAGTGCTGCGGCTCTCCGCTTTTCCTCAAGAGCACCTACGGTGACGGCTACAAGCTGACGGTGGTGAAGAAGCAGTCAGACACCCGGAATGGCACAGGTCTGGGGGGCAGTGGGATCCCGTGTTTCAAGGAGTAAATAGGACCAGCCCTTCTTCAGCCCCGGAAAGGAATGAGAGATCAACACCCAAGTGCTCCCACCCTTAGGCGACCACTTGGAGGGCAGAGAGGGACAGGGTAGGGATATGGGAGGTGGCATTGCTCAGCTATAATTTCCCCCATCTGGGTCCCAGGCTAGACCCTGGGTGGTGGCATTTGCCTCCAGGTGCTGGTTCTGTCTGGCCCGTGGGCTGCCCACCAAGATCCAGCATGGGCCATGGTACAGAGCAGCGTCCCCAGGTCAGGCGGGGCAGCTGGGAAACCTCCAGCACCTCGCGATGGAGGCTGGAGAAGCCTCCGCAGTGCTGGGGTGGAGTTCAGACATGGTGGGTCCTGGTGGGAGGCTGGGAGAGAAATGACCCACTGGTGCTGCTCCTCTGTCGCAGAGCTGGGCCAGCCACACAGCCCCTTGGCCCACTCCTCCATCAGCCCCTGCTCCGAGCCCCGCGTCTCCCAGTTCATCAAGAAATACGTGGCCTCCTGTCTCCTCATCTCGGACACCAACACTGAGCTCTCCTACATCCTTCCCAGTGAAGCCGTCAAGAAAGGCTGCTTCGAGAGGCTCTTCCAGGTACCTAGTAGGGGCTAGTAGGGTGGTGGGCAGCAGGCAGTCATGGGGCTGAGGCACTGTGGGCACCTCCTACCCTCCTTACATAGCCCTTTGTCTCCACAGCACTTGGAGCAGAGCCTGGAGGAGCTGGACCTCACCAGTTTTGGGCTGATGGACACTACACTGGAGGAAGTCTTCCTGAAGGTCTCTGAGGAGGACCAGTCTCTGGAGAACAGTGACGCGGGTATGGGTGGCAGGAGGTTACACGGTGCTGCTGGGACTAGTGAGGGGCTGTGCCTTTGCGTGGGCTTGGTGGCTCCTCTCCCCTCGCATGTGGCTGCGGGAGTCTCCTTTCCCAAGGGAAGGAGTTTTCTTTAGCGGAGCCTGTCCCAACCAAGGGCAGGCGGCCCCTGCTCCGCTCTGGGTTTGCAGAGTAGATCTGTCCCCGCTCTGTGCCGCACCAAGGTGAAGGGTGGCATGGCCAGTGGCAAACCCCCTTCTCCTCCCAGACATGAAGGAGTCCAAGAAGGATGCCCTGCGGCCACCTGCCCCCGAGCTGGGCCTGAAGCCTGAGGTCAACGGGGAGCCCCTTGCTGAAGCAGCCGTGCTGGAGAAGCCTGAGGTGGAGCTCAGCAACCTGGTGACCTGCTCCAAGCTGGCACAGTCGCAGGCATCCCTGCACTCAGCCTCCTCTGTGGGCTCCGTGCGGGGTGACGAAGGTGGGGCTTATTCCGAATTCTTTGGGGATTACACACCCCTGTTCGATAACCGGCAGGACCCCGATAACATCAGTCTGCAAGGTTCGTGCCGCCGGTGCCCGGCCAGCGGCAGGGGCCAAGGGAGGCGCTTGGCTGGGACGCGGAGGGCAGCTGGGGCAGTGGCAGCACCCATCCCTGCACCCGGGCAGGGCAGAGCTGGCCCTGGCCAAGGCAGGAGGGTGTGCCAGGGATGGGGGTCTGTGCCTTTTGGGGAGAGCCCCTGTGGTGGGTCTGATGCATCTGCTGCTGCTGCATGCGGAGAGATGCAGCCTGGGTGGGAGGGCTGGGAATGGCTGCTTCCACCAGTTTGCACTCCCAAACTGGTTGCATTTGCGTGAGGGTCCCATGCTGAGACACAGAGCCAGTGGGCATGGGCACAGCCCTGCCCTTTGCCTCCACCAGCTCCCTGCAGACCTGCCCCACTAACACGCTTACTCCTGCTAGTGCCCAGTTGGGTTTTCTCCTCCTGGCCTTTGGGCAGAGAGTGGTCTTCCAGCTGATGGCTTCGTTCCCTGTACCCTGACCCAGGCTCGGGGCTCTCCCTGCCGGGCTGCTGGGATTGCCAGAGGGTGCAGGCAGGTGTCCGGAGGCTGTTGTTCTATTCACACGTCCTTTTCTGGGTTATCCCAGCAGCTCATTGTGATTAATTCAGGGATGCGACACCCTGCCTCCCCAGCCAGGGCTGCTCTGAGGGTTGTGATTTGGGTTGCGGGAGGCAGAGCCCAGACAGGGCTCCCTGAGCACCAGCCCCTGCACCCACTGCCTCACTGGGTCTCCCCACCCATGTCCTGCTTTCTAACCGTGCTGACCCCTCACCAGCTGGGAGAATTGATGGGAAAATGGGGGGAGGGGGTGTCTGCCAAAACCCACCAATTTAGCTTGTTTTTTAAAAGCTATTGTCTACATTTCCCATTTGGGCCAAGAGGAGCCTGCCAGCCAGTTGCCTCGCTTCACACTGCAGGCTGCCATGGCTCGGTGGCCATCAGGGTTGCGTGCTGCGCTGTCTCTTGGTGTGGCTGGGCCCGGCTCGGTGCCTGGCTCAGCTCCCTAGGGGCCAAGGCGGGTGCAGCAGCAGCCGTACCAGGAGCTGACATCCTTCTCCACTCCTAGAGCAAGAGGTGGAGGCAGAGGACTGTGACCTGGCCGGGCAGGGGAGCTTCAAGCTGGAGGGCTCGTGGCTGAAGCTGCGCCAGTTCCATGGGCTGATCGTCAAACGCTTCCACTGTGCCAAGCGCAACACTAAGGCCCTCTTCTCACAGATCCTTCTGCCTGCCTTCTTTGTCTGCGTGGCCATGACGGTGGCACTTTCTGTGCCTGAAATAGGTGTGTGTGAGCCACCCACCTGCGTGTTAGGGGCTACCGGTGGCCCTTTCTGCCTGCCCCAGTGTGGCTGGAGGGAGGATGAGGACAAGGCTTGCAGGTGCTCAGCCAGTCTGCCTGTGTGCGGTAGCACTGCTGGTGCAAGCAGGTTCTGTCCTTGTCCCTGCAGGTGACCTGCCACCCCTCATCCTCTCACCATCGCAGTACCACAACTACACACAGCCCAAGGGCAACTTCATTCCTTATGCCAACGAGGAGCGGCGTGAGTACCGGTGAGAGCTGCCACTCGTCAGTGATCAGTGTCCCATGTCCTGTTCCCATCCCTGTCTCCGTCCCTGGGTCTGCAGTGGGGGGCAGCAGGGAGGGGAGCCCACAGCGTGGCTGGACCCAGGGCTGGCTCAGGCTTGGATCAGAGTCTGCCTGGTGCCATATCCCCTTGCAGAAAGCCACCTCCATCCTCCCCAGGGTGTCTCTGGGAGAGGTGCCAGCCCTGCCGCTGGCTGTGATGGGCAGCTTGGCTGTGTGCCCATTCAGTCATGCCTATTCAGCCATAAGTGCCAAGGCCTCGGGGACTTCCCAGCAGAAGATGGCATGGTGGTGAGACCCATGCTACTCTTCACCTGGTCCTCTCCCCGTAGCATCAGGCTGTCTCCTGACGCCAGCCCCCAGCAGCTGGTGAACACCTTCCACCTGCCCTCTGGTGTGGGGGCCACCTGTGTGCTCAAGACGGCCTTCAACAACACGTTGGACCAGCCCATGCAGACCCTCAACCTCAACAGCAATGAGTCGAAGATGCTGGCAGCCAAGTACTTTGATGCCATGTGCATCGACTCCTTCACCCAGGGCTTGCCACTCTCCAACTTTGTGCCGCCGCCTCCATCCCCAGCTCCCTCTGACTACCCCATCTCAGTGGATGAGGACCTGCTCCGTGCCTGGAATTCCACGATCTTCTCCTCCACCATGAAAGGTATCGCTTGCATACGGTGCTCATGTGTGTCTGGGCATGGGATTGATCTCCAGCAGGGAGATGATCTATCTCCCCTGCAGAAGCAGCTACAGGGACCCCTGGAAGTGCCGATCGGTTTGGCCTGGCCACAGCAGAGCATCACTGGGCTGAACTTCTGGCTCAGCACTGGTGACACCATTGAGAGCCCTGTGGCCAGCATTATGTCACCCTCAATGGGCCACAATCCCTAGCCAGTGCCTTCTCCAACCACACTTCATGCCCCCTCTCTGAACAGTTTCTGTCCCCCCAAAGTTTTTCCCCACATCCATTTCTTGGCCCTTCTCAGTCACCAGAACATAAAAGCCGTCTCGCAGTCTGGGCTCTGGCCATGGGGCAGAGTGCTCCCTCCCTGCCTGGCTGGGACCCCTCAGCTCAGCCTCTTGCCCCTTGTTGTCCCAGGCAGCTGGGGCAGGCAGGAGCCTGCCTGTGAGCTGCCCTCTCTGCTCCTCAGAGACCGTGACCTCGGCCCCTGCCCTGCCCCGCATCGTCCATGAACCCATCAAATGCACATGCTCCATGCAGGGGACTGGCTTCTCCTGCCCCAGTGGCGTGGGGGGCCACCCCCCGCAGATGAAGGTGGTGACGGGGGACATCCTGGCAGACATCACAGGGCGCAATGTCTCTGAGTATCTGCTCTACACCTCAGACCGATTCCGGCTGCACAGGCAAGAGGGGAGGCTGGGAGGGTCTGCCCTGTGCCATGGAGCCAGGGTGTGGGACCAGGGACTTGGGGATACCTGCCTGGGGAGCTGACTGGAGCCAGGAGTATGCTTTGAGCACGGCTGCGCTCCTGGTAGGTGGGGGACAGCGGTCACAGCTTCTCAGCGGTGCTTTGTCCCCACAGGTACGGGGCACTCACCTTTGGCAACATCCAGAAATCCATCCCAGCCTCCTTTGGGGCCCGAGCCCCAGCCACGGTGCGCAAGATTGCTGTCCGGAGAACAGCCCAGGTGGGCCCACGCTGCATCTGTGGGAGCTGGGTGGGCAGTGGCAGGCATGGAGCAGGGGATGAAGAGAAGGGGGCAGGCAGCACTGCCTGCGTGGCAGGGACCCCTCACCCGCAGCTCTGCAGCAGTGCTTTCAGCCCAGGAGCCTGGTGGGGCTCTCTCCCCATGGGGCACTTAGTAGCTCTCACCCCAGTGCATCTGGCTCAGCGTGGTCAGCAGTGGCCTGCCCTCCCTACAGCCATGAGCACAGGAAGCCTGCCCTGTGGCTCTCCCATCCCTCCCTTCCAGTACCTCTGCCATGGGCCCAGCTCTCTTGCTGCCTCCTACTACTCTTCTCTGCTCCTCCAGGTCTTCTACAACAACAAGGGCTACCACAGCATGCCCACCTACCTCAACGCTCTCAACAATGCCATCTTGCGAGCTAACTTGCCCAAGAGCAAAGGCAACCCAGCTGCCTATGGTGAGGACCTGGAGGTGTTTAAGGGCGGAAGCATGTCAGGAACAGCGTTAGGGCATGGTCCAAACAGGTTCTAAAGCACAGTGTCCCCCCTTGGACCTAGCAGGCTAGCGTGCAGTTGGGGTCACACACCTTAGCTATGAGATCTGGACTAGGCAGATCTCTCTGAGGTCTGGTCTGGGGCAGAACATTCCAAAGCGCTGCCTGAAGGCACCTAGGTTTGGATGTGTCCGAGGATGCTCTCTGCCAGGTGATGAAAGAGGTCTTGGCCTCAAGGAGTTCAGTTGGTTCTGAGAGCTCAACTCCTGCTGAGCTGCAGGGATGAAACCCGTCCTGCTCAGAGCCGGGACCAGGCAGAATGAGGGCAAGATTTTCTGTCCTGAGCCACCTTTCACACTCCCATGTTTCTTCTTGGGCCCTCCTGCAGGCATCACAGTCACCAACCACCCTATGAACAAGACGAGCGCCAGCCTGTCCCTGGATTACCTGTAGGTCCAGGGAGTGGGTTTGAGGGAGGGTGGCCGTCACGTGGAAGGGAGGGAGCTCCTCACGGTGGTTGCCGAGGTTCTGCCCTACAGGCTGTGTGGGGGGACTGAGTGGTTGTGATGTGGGGGTCCCTCTGCTGTGCCCTGCCCTCTGCACAGTGGCTGTCCCACGCCAGGACAAGTGGCCCTTCCCTGGGCAGCTGAGGGTGATGGGGTCTCTGCTCTCCTTCTTGCTCCCCATGCAGCCTGCAAGGCACGGATGTGGTGATTGCCATCTTCATCATCGTGGCCATGTCCTTCGTGCCAGCCAGCTTTGTGGTGTTCCTGGTGGCCGAAAAGGCCACCAAGGCCAAACACCTGCAGTTTGTGAGTGGCTGCGACCCTGTCATCTACTGGTTGGCCAACTATGTGTGGGACATGGTGAGCAGGGTGCATGCCCCACTGTCTGAGCCCCCAGGGCTGTGTGGGTGGGTGGACAGTCACAGAAGTTTCTGTCTTCTCCAGCTGAACTACCTGGTGCCAGCCACCTGCTGCATCATCATCCTGTTTGTGTTTGACCTCCCGGCGTACACCTCTCCCACCAACTTCCCTGCTGTCCTCTCCCTCTTCCTGCTCTATGGGTGCGTTGCTCAGAGGGGTGGTGAGTGCACTGGTGGGTTCCTCTAATGCACTCTGTCTATGGGAGCAGGATTTGGCCTTGGCCTTGCCTATCTGGCTGATGTTCTGCAGCTCCCAAAGCTGGTGGGCTGCGAGGGCTGGGGTGGGAGACCCCAGGGAGGATGGAGCTGGGCGATCCCAAATCTTAACGTTTGGCGCTGCCCATTCCCTCTTCTGGGGCCATGCTGAGGTACACTCCTGCTGCTTGCCTTCCCAGCTGGTCCATCACTCCCATCATGTACCCTGCCTCCTTCTGGTTTGAGGTGCCCAGCTCTGCCTACGTCTTCCTCATCGTCATCAACCTCTTCATTGGCATCACGGCCACTGTTGCCACGTTCCTGCTGCAGCTCTTTGAGCATGACAAGGTATGGGATTCACAGCTCTGCCTGGGGCCACCAGGAAGGGAGGTGCTGTCATAGGACAGCTCAGGCTGGGAGGGAAGTCAGAAGGTCTCTGCTCCAAACTCCTGCTCCCACCAGGGTCAGCTATGAGACCTGACTGGGCTATATCTTGCTGGGGATCATGATCCTACCATGCGCTCACGGTTCTCAGGGGTGTTTCTGATGGTCATGTCCTCTCTGCCCATCTCCACAGGATCTGAAGGTGGTGAACAGCTACCTGAAGAGCTGCTTCCTTGTATTCCCTAACTACAACCTGGGACATGGCCTGATGGAAATGGCCTACAACGAGTACATCAATGAATACTATGCCAAGATCGGTATGGCCTCTCAGTCCCTCCTTTCCTTGCTCCAGGGCATGTGGGGCTGGGGGAGACCATGGTGCTGGCACATCCCCTCTACCTGCCCTGTGGGGCTTCCCGAGGCCCAGAGCCACCTGGAGCAAAAAGCCAGGGGATGTGAACTACATGGGGTGCAGGAAGAGACACAGTTGAGGGTCACTGTGGCGTGGTGCCAGTGATGCTGAAAATAGTTTGTTGGGCCATCCCAAATAGCAGCCCTATGGGGAGAAGAGATTGTGAGCCCTGGCAGAGTCGCGCATTTCTGCTGCTGGTGCCTACTGCCCCTGATGGTGCCATGGTGGAGCTGTGGTGTGGCCATGGAGCTGTGATGGGCCATAGTGGGGCTGTGCTGTGATATGAAGGGTGGGGACTGCAAGGGCTCTTTCCTTCCAGATGTGGTCTTTTGTAGGGCTGTGCTACCCAGGCAAAATGAGCCTTTTGCTACTCGCAACTTCAGCTTGGTCTCAAAAAGCTCTTGCTGCTCTCTGCTTCTCAAGCAGCTCCTGTATATAACCAAGGTGCTGCTGGCATCATGAGGGGCAATTCTGGGGCAGGATCTGACAAATCCATCCAATACCCACTCTCAGCTGGGTTGATTCATCCTACTGAGGTTGAAAAATTGAAAGATGATTTTGACAGCACATGTGCTGTGGATAGAAAGCCTTGTTGTGACCAGCCCTGGGCCAGCAGCACTGACTAGCCCAGGCAGCTGTGGCAGGGGAGTCAGATAGTGTCATTGTCACAGGGCAGCTCAAGATGTATGACCAGGTTGTCCCCATGGGAAGGTGTCCCCAGCTACTCTCTCTTCTTCCCACTCAGGGCAGTTTGATAAAATGAAATCACCTTTTGAATGGGACATCGTGACACGAGGGCTCGTTGCCATGACAATTGAAGGCTTTGTCGGCTTCTTCATCACCATCATGTGCCAGTACAACTTCTTCCGTAAGCCCCAGTGAGTGTGGCCAGGGAGTTGGGGACAGGTTAATGGGGGCTGGCTGCAGGAAAAAGCTTTGTCATCAGAACCCCTTAGCTCTGGGCTGCCCCTCCAGTGGGTCCAAGCTGAGGAGCTGCCCATCCCTGGCAGGGACGCAGGTGGGCAGCTCCTGTGCCTGTATCCCTACCCTGCCCCGTGTGCCCTCCCGCAGGCGACTGCCCGTCTCCACCAAACCCATCGAGGACGACATTGATGTGGCCAATGAGCGGCACCGTGTCCTGCGTGGTGACGCCGACAATGACATGCTGAAGATTGAAAACCTCACCAAGGTGCAGCAACAGGATGGTGGTGGTGGGGGATGTGCTGGGGCTGCAAGGAGACACCACAGAGCCATCCCATCCAAGGGATATGGGTTGGGGCTGGGGTCCGGGCACTTTCCAGCAGTCTGAGCCTCCATCCCCTGCCCCATCAGGTGTACAAGTCCCGCAAGATCGGGCGCATCCTGGCTGTGGACAGGCTGTGCGTGGGCGTGCGGCCCGGAGAGTGCTTCGGGCTGCTGGGTGTCAATGGTGCAGGCAAGACAACCACCTTCAAGATGCTGACAGGGGACGAGAGCACCACGGGTGGAGAGGCCTTCGTTAATGGGCACAGGTTGGAGGGCATGGGCTGGGTGGGAGGTGGGGACTGCCCGCTGTCCTGGGGATGGGATGGGGTCTGCTTGGGGGTCTCCCAGAATGAAGCAGTGTGAATCTGCCCATGTGGTTCCGTGGCACTCAGCAGCCCTGTCCTTCTGGGCTGACCCTCATCTGGGGGTGGCAAGTGACACTGGCTCTTAGCCAAGGCCGCCCATTGTGGGTTATCTGGTAGAAGATGCTCCAGTATAAAGGCATGTTAAAGGGAGGGTGAGCAACAGGGTGCCCCTGAAAAAGCAATTCCTTCTCCCCATGGTCCCTCCATCCTCTCCCACAGCATCCTGAAGGAGCTCCTTCAGGTCCAGCAGAGCTTGGGCTACTGTCCCCAGTTTGACGCGCTTTTCGACGAGCTGACAGCTCAGGAGCACCTGGAGCTCTACACCCGCCTGCGCGGCATTCCCTGGAAGGATGAGGAGCGGGTAGGGCTCCTGCTGGCGCTGTGCCTTGGGACCGGCATATCCCTGGCATCACTGGGGACTGACCTGGTGCCATTGCCCTCACAGCAGTGCTACCCCAGCGATGTGCCCACGTGGGGTGCTGGGACTGGGACTGCCGTGGTGCTCTCCTGCTGGCACTTTGCTTGTGCTCCCCTTAGCAGCTGGCCCATGCCACAAAGCCCAACCACTTGCCTGCTGCCAGCTCTGCCAGCTCCGTGGCCTTGGCACAGTGACAGCAGACACCCACACTTTGCAGGTGGTCAAGTGGGCATTGAAGAAGCTGGAGCTGACCAAGTACGCCGACAAGCCCGCCAGCACCTACAGCGGAGGCAACAAGAGGAAGCTGTCCACAGCCATTGCACTGATCGGTTACCCGGCCTTCATCTTCCTGGTGCGCCCTGGGCTCCAGCACCCTGCCCATGGGGTCTTCCTCCCACCCACTGTATCCCTGGGGCTGGTGCTAGGCTAGGGTGCAGAAATGACCCTGGGTGGGAGCTGCCTGCCTCCGGCTTTACCATGAGTGTCCTGGGGTGTGGGATGGTGGGAAGGGGCCAGCAGGGTCCCCCCAGGGGCTGACATGTCTGAGAGTGCTGTCTGTTCTGCAGGATGAGCCCACCACGGGGATGGACCCCAAGGCACGGCGCTTCCTCTGGAACCTCATCCTGGACGTCATCAAAACGGGCCGCTCTGTGGTGCTCACGTCCCACAGGTCTGGGGGGGCTTTTGGCTGCACCCATGATGCTGCTGGGCATGAGGGGCACTGTGTGGGTGGGAAGGAGCCCTTTGGTCCCCAGAGGATGGCATCTGGCAGGGTCACAGGGAGCAGAGGGAACCCGGGACACCCTCTGATGCCTTCACCCATCTCTGGTGGTGGGGCCACAGCACCAAGGTGATGACCTGGGGAGCTCGGGTCCCCACCTGCCCCAGCTGTGGCCCCTGGCACTATCCCCCTGTGCCACCCTGCTGAACCCTGCCATGTCTCCCCAGCATGGAGGAGTGCGAGGCGCTCTGCACCCGCCTGGCCATCATGGTGAATGGGCGGCTCAAGTGTCTTGGCAGCATCCAGCACCTGAAGAACCGGTAAGAGCCCCATTGGGGTCCAGCACCCTGCGTGCGCTGCAGGGTGACAGCATGGCACCCACAGTGAGATATCAGTGCTTTGTGTGGGACAGGGGGCGGGCTTGCTTGGGTGGGTGCAGCAGCTGCTGGAGAGTATCATCCCCTTCTGTGGGGTCAGTCCTTCCTGGCAGAGGTGCAGGTGGGGTGCCAGATCCTCATGGGGTCCTTTGTCCCCTTGCAGTTTTGGAGATGGCTACATGATCACGGTGCGCACCAAGTCTAGCCTCAATGTCAAGGAGGTGGTGAGGTTCTTCAACCGTAATTTCCCTGAGGCCATCCTCAAGGTGAGTTCCCTGCTGTGGTGGTGACATCCCCTGGCAAACCCCGTGTCAGAGTGCAAGCAGCCTTCATCCCCCAAGGAACACCTCTGTTGGCACCCCCTCCAGCGTGACAGGAGGGGGTCTGGGAATGAGGGCTTGGGTGTCACCTCCATGTCCCCTGCAGGAGCGGCACCACACCAAGGCCCAGTACCAGCTGAAGTCGGACCAGATCTCGCTGGCACAGGTCTTCAGCAAGATGGAGCAGGTGGTGGATGTGCTGGGCATTGAAGACTACTCTGTCAGCCAGACCACACTGGACAACGTGAGATCGGGAAGGGCACAGGGAGCTGGGTGCTTGTCCCCAGGGAGGGTGGCCGTGACAAAGTGCCGGCAGAAACCACCTTCGGGATGGGAGGTGGAGCTAGGTGGGGGGCATGGTGGTGGCCACAGCCTGGTGGGATGCGCTGGGGAATGTCTCCAGTGGCACAGATGGTAGGTGAGAGGTGGCCGGGGCGTGGAGGTGCTCGTGCATCTCAGCCTCACAGTCTCCTGCCCCTTTCTCCCTAGGTGTTTGTGAATTTTGCCAAGAAGCAAAGCGACAACCTGGAGCAGCAGGAGACCAGCCCCAGCTGTGTCCTGCAGTCACCCTTGGAGCGTGTGCTGAGCCTGCTGCGCCCGCGGGCTGCCCCGACGGAGCTGCGGGCCCTTGTGGTGGAGGAGCAGGAGGACCTGGAGACCGATGACGAAGGCCTCATCAGCTTTGAGGAGGAGAGGGTGAGAGGTTGTCCCCAGATCTGGGTGCCTGTGCTCCCAGCTCTGTCACTACCATGGGGCACTGGGTCTCATCCAAGGAAGGGCACACGGTGGGGCTAGGGAGGGACCAGAGAGAGCTCTCTGGAAGTGGGGAGGTTGCTGTCCACCCCGGGCCAGATCCTGGCCCCAGCAGCCCCTGCCCAGCCCCTGAGCCCTGCCCGTCTCTCTGCCCGTAGGCTCAGCTCTCGTTCAACACGGACACTCTGTGCTGAGACCCCAGGAGCAGCCACCTCCCCTGGCTGTGAAGCCACCAAACCCTTTTGGCCTCTCCCCTCCCTTCGCCCCGTCGAGCGGAGCTGTCGTGGCTGGAGGCGCATGCCAAGGAGGACGTGGCGTGTGTGGCATTGGCCTGGATGGACCCCACTGCCCGACGGACGGCCTTTGTCCCCTTCAGTTCTAGGACAGTGTCACTGTGTGTTACCGGGGGCCATCGTGCTGGTCTGGCTTGTCCAGCCAGTACCTGCCAATGGACAGAATCTGTGAAGAGAAGGACGCGTCTTAATGCCAGTGCCACCAGCCCCCCATGCTTTGTGGCAGGGACGAGGCCTGTGAGTGGTGCCTTCAGTTGGACACCCTTGTTGCACCCACCCTGGGGACCCTTGGCCGTGGGGACACCCCCCTCCCTGGGCACCGGCAGCACCCCAGGCTTGCCCCTGGCCAGGCCGGAGGAAGGACAGATGCTTTCATCTTGTTTCCATACCCCTGGCTTGGCGCTTGCCCCTGGCACTGTGTGGGGCTCGGGGTCTGGTGCTGCAGGGGCCAGAGCTCTGGTGCTTCACCCACAATTGGTTTCTGCCACCGACGGGATGTCACCAGCAACCTCAGCCTGCCTGAGATGGGGCCCTCAGCCCCACTGCTGCGTCCCGCCTGCCCCACCGCTGCCAGCTGAGAGGTCCGGCCGCTTCAACCCTGTCATGCTGGGCACTCAGCACTGTCCCTGGGGCTGGGCAGCGGCACCCCTGCAGAGGGGCACACGGTGGGGCAGAGGGGTATTTCACAGGGTATTTCACATGCTGGCACCAGCTGTTTCTCCCCTCTGCCCCCAACCGTGTCCCTCCTCCCAGAACCCCTAACCGTCTCCTGCCTGCCCTCACCACCCGCTTCCCGCACCGCGGGGCAGCACTGCAGCTGTGCTGCCTTCCCCTTCTGCAGCCCTGCTTTTCCCCCATGCCCTGGCACTCATTGCTCAGCATCTGGCACTGCACTGGTTTCTTGTTGGGTCACTGGTGATAGTGGTAGAGGGGTTGGTGCAGCCCAGGATGGCTTTTGAAACTGGGAGTGGGGTAGCCTTGAGGTACGAGGACAAGACAGCCCAACTGGGCCCTAGCACAATGTGGCAGTGGTGCCTGGCATGGGGGCGAGGGCAGAATGGACCACGACGGTGGTGCCAGCAGCATCAATAGGGCTGGCAGTGGGTACCCCCTTGCCCAGCAGTGCCCCTCCTTTCTGCAGAGGGTCCTGCCACCTTGTCACCCACGGGGACTGTGCCAGGCACCCGCAGCCCAGCAGCATCTGCAGCCGTGCCCAGAGGCAGGGTAAGAGCAGGGCCCGTGACACTGACCCCGATCGCCCACCCCATGGGTGCCCCAGGCTTTTGCAGCACCCTGAGGGGACAGCATGCACAGTTTCTCCTCCTTCCCAGGAGCAGCCAGGCCCAGCCCTGGCCCCAGTCAGGGAGTGGCAGCTGACCCTCCACTGTCCCCATGTCCCCTGGTCTCGCCAGTCCTGTATGCCACCTGCTATAGATTGTGATACAATATACAGTATTTTCAATAGGGGAAAAATTGGGGGGAGGGAGATAAGCTCTATTTTCAGATTTTTCAGACCGTATTTTTTTTAACGGCATACTGGAGACTGGCTGGTCTTGGGGTGGGGTGGATGGCATGGGTGGGCAGCCCCCACCCATAGTGCCCCTGCTCACTTGCTGGGCCTGCTCTACCTTCCTGGTTGGGTGCTGGGGGATGAGCCAGCTTGGGGTTGGCTGTTTGCCACCAGGGAGGGGTTGATGTCACCTTGGGGTCCCCAGTTGTCACCTTGGGGGTGGCACCCACAGTGCACTCCTGGGTGGGCATGGTGCCCTGCTCTGTGCCCTGGCCAGGGCTTTGTCCTTGCCCCATGCCTGCCCCAGTGCACTGGGCTCTGTGGGGGCACCAGCATTCCAGGTACAGACTTCAACCCCCCAAGCCTTCCCATCTGCAGAACTGCCCCCATCTGCTGCCGTGCCACCGGCCCTGTGCCCCGTGGATTTTGATGGTGAATTGAGATGCTTTTGTGCTCGCAGCCTGGTGTGCCCACACAGCCTGGGTGGCCGCAGTGGCCTCCCTGCCCTGGGCTTGGGGCCACTCAGGCAAAAACCCTGCTGGGGGCACCCCAAGGGTGGCAGTGAGGTGGGAGCAGGAGGACATCGCCCTGGGGCAGGGACGGCCACTGCCTTAACACTATTTGCTTTGTTGAGTTTGGCCCTGCTTCTTGCTTCACCTCCCTCTGCACGTCCTTGGCCACCAGCCGCGGGCACAGCACCAGTGCCACGCACGGCCCTGGGCATGGGGCACCCCAAGGGATGGGGACGCATTGGTGGAGCCTGTACATTGCTAGCAAAAGAAACTGAAAAAAATGAAATGTGAAAATAACGATCATTTTAAATAAAAAATAATAACTGGAGCCAGCGAGGCTGTGTGGGTGCTGGTGTGTAGGAGTGCCAAGGCTGGGTGCGTGGGAAGGGACTGGGCTGGGCGAGGGCTGAGGAGGGGGTTCATGGTGCCCTGAGGTGGGGAAGCAGGAGGATGCATGGGCAAAAGGAGCTGGGTGCAACACAGGGCTGTACCCAGCGTTGGCTTCTTCCAGAGGGGGTGGTGGGGCTGGAGGGGTGGTGAAGCCCCGCAGGGCGTAGCAAGACCTGGCAATGCTGCCAGCCGCCCTTGCCGGACCTCAGCTGGCAGCAGTGGCTGGGGCCCCACAGCAGGGCGTCCCCGCAGCCGTGGGGCCAGGCGTGGGTGGGAGCGGGTGCACCCCAGGGAGGAATGTGGGGCTGGGAGGGGCCACAGCTCTAGCACTGGCACCCACGCCACAGCCACCACTCTGCCGGCAGCCGCCACCCAGCATGGCTGAGAAACCTCAAATCCAGCTCTTCGTCAAGGTGAGGGGGGTCATGGGGGCTGGGGTGCCCTCAGGCCAGGGGGCACCTCTGGCTGCCACCTTGGCATTGCTGGGCTGGGGTGGTCCCTGCCCCACCGCAGGGCCCAGATGTGGGGCCCTGGGCAGGCAGTGGGCAGCTTGGGGCTCTTCTCCAGGGCACAGTGTGCTGCTGCCTGCCCTGCAGGCACAGGGGGGGCTGTGGGTGCTCAGCCTGGGGTGCCCCCAAACCTGGACACCCTGCCCAGCAGCCCGGCCACCACAGCATCTGCCAGGCCCTTCCCAGGCACCAGCCGGCCATGGCAGTTTGTCCGGCTGCACAGGGCCCGCCTGGGATCATGCCTCGGGGTGGCAGGGTCACCAGCATTGCCACCGCCTCCTACCCTGCCGCACTGGGCTGTCCCCTGCTGCAGCCACCCCACTGCCCAGTGCCTCCATCACCATTGCTGCCCCCCAGTCCCCTGTGGGTGCCAGGGCCAGCACCCGCCCTGCCACGCAGGCTGCTGGGGTGGCGCAGGGAGGGCCCAGGAGCAGGCAGGGGACAGGGGCTGGCTCCTTGCCTGGTGTAGCAAGTGCCATGGGCCACCAGCGCTGCTCACCAGCCTGTGACCAACCCAGGCTTGGCCAGGGTGGGGCAACGTGCACCCTGCCCCCCTCCCCCAGTGCTTTTTTTGGGGGGGAGGGGTGGCTGGCACTGCCCCCACTGTGACCATGGGCGAAGGGGCAGCTGAGCTCTCCCTCTGCCCACAGGCAAGCGAGGACGGGGAGAGTGTGGGCCACTGCCCCTTCTGCCAGCGGCTCTTCATGGTGCTGCTGCTCAAAGGGGTGCCCTTCACCCTCACCACCGTGGATGTGAAGAGGTGAGTGGCTGCCCCACTCCCAAGGGGCTGCCAGCCCCGGGGCCAGGGCAAAGGGTGGGATGGGAGCTGTGCCCTGGCCCACTGATAGAGGTGGTGGGTGCCCGCACCTTGGGAAAGGATGTGACGGGTGGGGCACTGCAGGATGCACGGGGCCTGAGGGAGGGCATTTTCCCAGGTAGGGCTGCCATTGAGGGGAGGCAGGAGCAGCCTGGGGGGACCACCTCGGCCCTTTGTCCAGGACATGCATGTGTATTCACACAGACACGCACACATGCAGCGCCCTGCAGAGCCCTGGGCACTGCCGGCCATCAGTGTCTGTCTCCGTCTCCACAGAGCGCTGGATGTGCTGAAGGACTTCGCGCCAGGTGCCCAGCTGCCTGTTTTGCTCTACAATGATGAGCCCAAGACCGACACCGTCACCATTGAGGACTTCCTGGAGGATAAGCTGGGGCCCCCCAAGTCAGTGGTTGGCGTCTGCCCCACGAGGGGCCAAGGGGCCAAAGAGGGACAGGAGAGGCTGGGGGAGAGATGGGCATGGGCAGGCAGCATATGACCCCGCCAGCCCCTATCTCCTTCCTCAGCCACGCCCACGTCCCTGCAGGTTCCCCAGCCTGATCCCACGGTACAGAGAGTCAAGCCTGGCCGGGAATGACATCTTCCACAAGTTCTCCACCTTCATCAAGAACCCAGTGCCTGCCCAGGATGAGGGTGAGGAGCTGGGCTGGGAGTGGGGGCACCCCATGCAACCTCTCAGGTGCCACTATTGCAAAGCCAGGCCAGGTCACTCTGAGCCTTTCCAGCCCTCCCCTGCCCCAGGCCACAGCTGGGTCTCCCCAGGCGGTTCAGTGGGGCTGTGCCAGGGCTCTCTTGGGAGGGCTGGGGCTGGTGCCAGCTGAGGCAAAGCGGGGAGAGCACAGGCAGGCCCTGCCTGGCCACAGAGATGGGCTGGCAGGAGGCCACGGCAGAGTCGCGGGGCCCTGTGCCTGCAGTGGGGCCATGCCTGGACCCAGCAACACTGCCACCCTCCCGCAGCACTGCAGCGGAGCCTCCTGCGGGCCCTGCTGAAGCTGGACGAGTACCTGACTGCCCCGCTGGAGTACGAGCTGGCCCATGACCCCCATCTCCGGGCCTCCCGGCGCCGCTTTCTCGACGGGGACCAGCTCACATTAGCCGACTGCAACCTACTGCCCAAGCTCAACATCGTTCAGGTGAGTGGGGGCACGCTGGGGCCTGCCCTTCCCCTTGCCCTGGCTTCTAGATGGCACTAGCCTGATGCTCTCACCTTCCCCTGGGTGCCTGCAGCAACCCCCTGCTCCTTTGCCAACAGCTGTATCCTGGTACCTCCTCCCCATGCCCCCTGCCCAGCACGGTGTCTTCCCACAGATGTCACTCCCCTCCACACCCACTGCCAGGTGCCATCCCTGATCTTGTGCAGTGCCAGGGATGTCCCCCTGCCACCTTTCCTAGCTGGCTCCTGGCCCTGAATACCACCACCTGGCCGTGAGGCCCTCCTTGGCACACTGCAGGCACACAGGGCTGGGAAAGGGCTCACCGTATTTCTGCAGGTCGTGTGCCAGCATTACCGCCGCTTTGGGATCCCCAAGGACCTGCGGGGTGTGTGGCGCTACCTCAACAGCGCCAGCGAAACCAAGGAGTTCAAATACACCTGCCCCAACAGCGAGGAGATCATACAAGCCTATCGCTCCGTGGTCCGGTCGCCGCAGTGAGCCGGACACAGACCCAGGTGGGGCAGGGCCAGCTTCAGGCAGCAGGCCAGTGCTCACCTCGGTCCTGCCATGACTGCCACATGCCTGCACACACTCGGGAGGGCAGAGAGCATGAGATGAGCCCCTGGCACACATATACCCTGCTGGCACCCCTGCCCGAGGTGCTGGTAGCAATCTGCATTCCACTGAGCCTGCAAATGCGTTCTCACCTCTTGTGCCACCCTCCCTGCCTGGCCAGGATCCCCTCGACCTGCCCTGCAGTCCCCCAAGCATCAGGACAGATGCAAGGGGGCCAACAGCCTTGGGCGCCCTCTGTACCGTAGGTGGGCAATGCTGAGGGCAAGGGCAGGAGGTGGGGAGGAAAAGCTGCCCAGCGCAGAGGGCTGCAGGGCACAGAGAGGGCAGCACACTGCAGCGGGCATCCCTGCACAACATGCCACCCGCCAGGCCAGCAATCTGAGGCAGGGCTGTGCCAGGTACCGCAGGACGCCCCTGAGGAGCTGCACCGGTGAGGGGAAGCAGCACAGCCCTGCAGAGCCCTGGGCTCAGAGCCAGGGGGGTGGCACAGGTGGTGGAGACAGCCCAGACCCCAGCACCCTGGGTGAGGGGAGTGGAGGGCACCGTCCCCCCAGAACCTGCCATTAGGAAGCTCTCAGGAGCAGATTTGGGAGCGGGATGGGGTGGAATCTGGGCAAGTCTAAGGCATGTATCAGAGCTCCCAGAAAGCAATAAAGGCTTTGCAAGTGAGACAAGCCTGAGTCTGGAATGACTAGCCCCAGCATTTCTCCTCCCTCACAGGACTTCACACTGGCCTCCCAGTCCTCTCCCAGTGCCTAGCAGGGGCTGGACCCATTCTCCCAGCTCTCCAGGGGGCTGGGGAAGCTCACACAGCAGCCCCCTGGCACAAAGGTATCAGGAAAGAGAACTCCTCTGAGCACCTGACCCTCCAGGTTCAGCTGAAATTAGCCACAGAGTTCCTGAGCAAGGGAAAGGCACAATGGACTGACACATCTGTGCTGTCCCAGTCCCCATAGACCGACTGGCTAAAACCATCTTTACTAGCAATAAGTTAAGCACAGACAATCTTTTTGTTACACAGCAATACAAAATTCTTAAAAAAAACCCCCATCAATTCATGACAAGTGACCCCTGCCAGCAGGGAAGAGCCACAGGGAAAAAAGCCACCACTTCTGTCACCCCTTCCCCATCTGTCCCCCTCAAAGGCCCTGCCACCGCACCAGCTGAGGATCTGCTGCCCACTCAGGCCTGTCAGGCGCTGACTCCAGCCCGCTTGGTCCTACTTGTCCCATCCGCCCCCTGGGCAAAAGGGACTCAGCAGGTCCAGGGTGCAGTGAAGTTTCCTCCACACACGTGGCTGACACGACTCCGGTAGGGCTGTCATCGGGGGACGGGACAGCACAGGTCAGCAGTCCTCGAAGTCCACTCCAGATGGTGCCTTCTTGCTAGAAGGAGATGGAGGGAGGACCACAGCCCAAAACCCCACACCCTGCTCCCATATAGCCACAGGATCTCTGCGCAGCCCAGTCCCAGCACTAGGCCTGGGAGCAGCACTTACCTTTTGAAGCCAGGGTTAATGAGAGACTCCCCGGGGATCTTCCTCTTGGCCAGCAAAGCTGAGCCAGCACCCCTGGTCTTCCTTGGGCTGGGGTCTGCCTCAGTCAGGGACAAGCAGGATGGGGATTGCAAAAGGTCAGCCAGATGCTTTGGCAGCCCTGCAAACCCCTCCACGCCCAGCATGAGCCTCCAGCAGCCCAGCCAGGCTGGCCCAGCATCCATGGCAGGTGAGGAAGGGCTGAGCCTGGTCTCCTCTCCCAAAGCAGCAGGGAGACATAGACCTGTTGCGGTCTCCAGTCTGGAAGAGAAGTGAAGCCAGACCTCCTCCTGGAGGCTAGCGAGCAACCTGTGTGGCGATGCCCAGTATCCCCCCTGAGCACAGAGCATCCCGGACACCCTGAGAGCCACTGCCCTGGCCCCTTCTGTGCCGGGAAGGGCACCAGAACAGCAGGGTGGCTGACAGCAGCCACAGCCAAGGACACTCAGTGTCCCAGAGGGTACATGGACACAGGACCAGCAGCCTCCTAGGGAAGAGAAGGCAAACAAGCAGCAGAACCAGGGAGGTGCCCCCTGGCAATTGCTTACCTGGCAGGAAGAGCTGCTGGGCAGTGTTCTTCTCAGGGCTGCAGGAAGCTGCCAGTGTCTCCACCACTGCTGAGACAGCAGCCAGGGTACCTCAATGTGGCATGCAGCATCCCAGGCCTCCCCAGCAAGCTCCCTCCCCTCCACAGCCAAACTGAGCCACGTTTTCCTCCCAGCGCTCCCACCCAGGCTGCTGCTGCCCCAGGATCTTCCTAGACCCCTAAAATAGAGACCTCCGTAAGGCAACTCCCACACACAGAGATGATGGTGTGGTGCTAGCCATGGGGACAAAGCTGTGTTTCCGCACAGAGACACAAAACTGTCCTCTGGTCCCACACAGGATCTCTTCTGCCTGCGGTGGTCAGGTGCAGCCCGAACAGAAAAAAGGCAGCAGCACCTCTGCTGCCCAGCCCTGCTGCCCAGTCTGGCCCGGGGCCAGTGAGGGGAGACCACCAGGGCAACGCCATGGAGGCACAGCCCCCTGCCATTGCTGGCTGAGCCCGACCACTCGGAACCCCTTTGGGTGGGGGGAGTGGGGGATGACACCGTGAAAGGGAGCTGCCCGCCCGCCTCCTGCCTTTATCCCCTCCCAATGCCCCCCACGGACCTCCCAGGCGTCTCTCCAGGCTCCTGACGTGCCCCGCCATGCCAAACACCAGCGCCTGGACCTGGCTCCTCGCCTCCGCGACGGGCAGCTTGAAGAGCTCCAGAACCGAGCACTGGGCCTCCTCCGGCAGCCGCAGCGTGGCCTTCCCTTCACCGAGGCTCAGCGCGGCGCCCCCCCGCTCCAGGGCCTCCCTGCGCGGGCGAGCCGGGGGTGAGGGGGGCCCGAGGCCGAGGGCCGGCTCCCGGCGGCGGCGGCGGCACCCACCTGAGCTTCGCGCCGTGCTCCTCTGGCGGGCACTGCTGGGGAGGAGAGAGGACATGTCCCGAAACGGCCTGCCCCGCCACCCCGGCGCCATCCCGCCCCGCTGCCCCGGTACACACACATCCCAGCGGCGGGCAGGCACCGAGCTCCCGGGCCCAGACGTCCAGCGCGTCGGTCACACTGCGGGAGGCGGAGGCTCAGGCTGTGCCAGGGGCCGCTCGGCCCCAGCCCGGCCCCGGCCCCGCTCCCCGCCCCGCACTCACTAGACGGTGCCGCCGGGGCCGGGGCCGGGGCGGCAGTAACAGAGGTACCGGCCCGGCCCGGCCTGCAGCAGGTGGAAGGGCCCGGCCGGTTCCGCCATAACGGCAGCGCCGGAAGGGGCGGGCGAGGCCTGCGGGCCCTCCCCGGCGCCGGGACCGGCAGCCCCGCCATGGTCAACCTGGGGCTGCGGCGGGTGGAGGACAGCGTGGCCGCCAAGCACCCGGTACGTCCTGCCGGGGCCGGGGGCACCAGGGTGGGCGCTGCCGGCGACCGGCGGTGTCGGGGCTGGGGGGACCCGAGCGGGGGGGACCGGTGGCCGGGGGGCGCCGGTGCCCCGCGCTGAGTGTGTTCCCGCAGGCGCTGCAGCAGTACGCGGCCTGCCAGTCCCACGCCTTCATGAAGGGCATCGGCGCCTTCCTGGCAGGTAGGGCCTGGCCCAGCTCCCCCCGGCTGCTCCCGGGGGAGGGGGGGCGGGCGGCCCGGGTGGGTGCCGTGGCCGGTAACGGCACCGGACCGCCGGGTTTTGGCAGGCAGCGGAGCCGCCTTCGCCGTGCAGAAGCTGGTGAACAAGAAGCTGCCGTACAGCCTGCAGTGGAGCCTGCTGCTGGCTGCGGGTGAGCAAGGCCGGCCGTGCCCCTGCCTTGGCCAGCGGGCGGCATCCCGCTCTGCACGGGGCCGCGCTGCGGGCAGAGGGGCTGTTTGCCCTTCTCCTGGGGGAGTTTCTCCCCTGGCTCCTGTCTCATCCCTGCTCCCCACCGCCCTCCGGGGCTCAGGGACAGCTTGCAGGCAGCTGCAGCAGCTGGGAAGCTGGCGGGGGCTTTCCCCACCACTTCCCCTAGCAGATGCCCTTGCTGCTGGTGCTCTCAGGAGCATCTCGGTCTCTTTAGGCACAGGTTCCCTTGCCAGCTATGTGGTAACCAGAGCTGAGACGCAGAAATGCTCCGACTTCTGGATTTATCTGGAGACAGGCAAGTCCCCACAGGAGCTTGCCATGGCTGGCAGGGTGTCTCAGCCCACAGGTATGTTCACATCTCTCCCTGATGCTTTCCCTGGGCTTGTCGTGCCTGGTTCTGCCTGCTGCAACAATTTGTCATTTCTGCCTCATAATTAAGTTGGTGTCATTGCTAAAATCCCCATATAAATCCCACACTGGCACCCTCTAGCCGAGAGGTGGGAGCAGGGGCCTTGGGGTGGCAGCAGTGCCAGGGTAGCTGGAACCCCCTGCCTGGTCTCATGGCTCTTGTGTCCCTCCATGCTCTGGGCCCATCACCTGCGTTGCAGGTACCTGCGCAGGGCTGGCAGCATGTGGGGGGAGCACTCACTTCTGCCTGCTGCCCTATCTGCTTTGTGGATTCACAAAAGCCAGCGTGAAGGGCTTGCTGGAAGAGGAAGAAGAGGGTCGGGGGTAGGGGAGGCAGTAAATCCTCCACACCCCAGTTGATCCACGCAGTGGGCACAGCTGTAGTGGGTGGTTCCCAGGGCTGCCAGCTGCTTTCTTCCACTGGTACCGTGAGCTGCCATAGCTGGGCCTAGCTGAAGAGGTTTTAAATGCTTCAGCAGGGCTCTGTGGTTTTCTGCACGCTCCTAGAAAATGTGCCGGGATAGTCGGGGGTCCAGGGAGCTTGTTCTTTCTTTTGCAGAAAATCTGCCCAGTCCAGAGGACAGAGAGAGCATGGCACCACCGGTGAGGAGGAACAAGTACGGGGACATTGTGGAATAGCTGGCAGAGCACAGCGCACCGTGCTCGTGTCCTGCCTGCCCAGCTTGCCTGTGTTGCTTGCGAGTCTGGTGGGCTCTGTAGCACTGCCTGGGAGCTCAGATGAGTTGATCCTGCAGTGAAAGCTTAGTGGAGGCACCGTAGGGATTGCTGTCTCCCAGGTTGCCTCTGAACATTGCACGTGGGGGGCACAATAAAAGTTGTGAGCTGAAGGTGCTCATTGTGGACAAAGCAAAGGTGGGGCAGGAAGAGCTGGGGTGCAGGTGGTAAATGTCACCCTGAGCCAGCCTCTGCGGTAAATGTTGGAGCAGAGAGCTCCGGTCCCTCTGAGGCCGTGGCACCCACAATCCGACTGGGTGTGTGCAGTGACTGCAGGCACAGATGGGTCTGGGCTAAGCTGTGAGAGGGCAGAGCTGTTGCTGTATGCTTTCTGTTTCTTGGGCCTGACCAGTCACAGTGTCCCTGGTTCTGTAGCAGCAAGGCTTTTCTCACCTGTTGAATGGGGCTGAGATGAGCCTTGCAGCTGCATGGCCTCTGGGGGTGTCCCCTCTGCCCCCAGAAAGGGGTGCACGTGTGCACAGAGCCCCTCTACGCGGCACCCGCCTTCCTCTCAGGGCATGTCACTGGCCAGTCCTAAACTCTCTATCTGTGTCCGTAACCAGCTGGCAAGGGAATGATACTGTCTCGAATCCCACACATTCAGAGGGGCAGGTGGGAAGATTAAGAAACCTCTTTTACTTCATTTTTTCCTAATGGCAAACTCCAAGTCGTGACTAGGGCAAACCAGCTGCTCTTGGTGGATATCCAGCTCTGATTCAGCAGCAGCTGAATTTCTTAGAAGGGCCAACCCAGCCTGGGTTCTGGAAGCAAGCTGGTTTCTTAAAGCAGAGCAGCAGTATTTCAGCTTCAGTGACCAGAAATGCCTCCTTCCCTGTGGGAGGTGGAGACCGTCCCCGAGCCTCGCCGCAGGAGGGAGTCCCTGTGCTGGGGAGACAAGAGGCCCAGGGAGGAGACTGGCTTCTGGGGCTCAGAACATCATCTGAACTGGAATCACACTTGACCTGTGCAGTGAGATGGGGAGCAGCCACCAGAATAGCTAAAAGCGAAGTTGCTGCAGTGGAATGGGTGGGTTAAGCCAAGCACAGTTAGCGGGAGGCCAGCCAGTGTGGGGAGCAGAGCTCATGCTGCCTGCGAGAGAAGGAGGGCAGCGAGAAACCACAGCTCTGGCTTGAACTGCTCCTCTCCTGGGGCTTGTGGAGGAGCACAATGGGGGTGGCGAGTCAGGACTGGCCCTGCACAGCTGGGTGTGTGCTGCAGTGCCTCTGAGCTGCCAGTGACTGCACAAATTGCCAGCCCTGCGGGCCACTCTCCTGCCCTGCTTGGGTACCAGACCCAGTCCCCCAGGAGCAGAAACTCCCCACTTTTTTGCCTTGTGTGGAGGCTGTGGCCAGCAATGCAGCAGTGAATGCACGGGGCAGGGTCAGCCTGAGCACTGCCTGCTCACACTTTTGAGGTGACTGGACCTCTAGTGCTTGGGAAACCTGAACTTTGCAACCTTCTTGGCAGGTTGAAACTCTTCCACCTCCAAGTGGGCCTGAGTCTGGAGTAAGGTTTCAAGCCCACCTTGGTGTGTGTTGGAGGATTCTCCAGGCTGGTGGAGCATGCTGAGCCTGACTTGTGGCTGTCCCCCAGTAGAACCCATTAAGTGGCTCTACCCCTGCGGGACAGCCAGGTTTAATCAGCCCATTGCTGATCAAGAGCCACAGAGCCATAGGAGTGGTTACAAAGATTTATTTCTGATTATAAAAAAAAACAACAAAACCAAAACCCACAACAAACAAACATAACAAAACCTTCTGCATGTTTGTCTGTCCCTGTTCTTACTCAACGGGAAATGAAGGCGCATCCTCCCAGCTGCCTGGTGTGGGGTGATGCAGGGTTCCAATCCCCCCGCCTGCAGTGAGCCCCTCACCTACGGGGTGGCACAGCCACACACCAGGGAGCCGCAGGGACGGTTTGCACCGTTGCTGGGGGAATGGAGGAGGCTGTGGCTGTGGCAAAGGCGAGACTGGTTTAGGAACCACAGGAAGGGGGAAGGCACTGTGTTTGGCTGCTGAAGCTGGACCTGGAAGCTGTCTGCGCCCCATGTCTGGTTGTTGCTAAGGCCCTACCCAAAGGGCCTGTGCCGAGGCTGGTGGAAGTCCAGGCCAAGGTCTGGCCCTCAGGAAGGTCCATGGGGCTTGTGCATCAGCCAGGAAGACAGCATGGACTCTGGCTGGTGGCCAGAGCTCCTTGGGAGGCAGGGCTGATGCTGCAGGGACAGGCTAGAGAGGTCAGCTATAAGGACTAGTGTAATTAATACTCCCCACCCACCCCATGCATAAATCCCACTGTTGTCTGGACTTGCTGGACCAGTCCAGCCCAAGTCTGGTGGCAGAAAGATGCCCAAGATCTGAATGTCCAAATCCCAAGCCTGCTCTGGGGTCCATCCCTGAGTAGCATTGGGGAACCCTTAAGCCATTCTCCTGCAGGGTCAGGGTCCTCTTCTGTCCCCCCCTTTTCTGCAGCTTGAAAGCAAGAGGAGGGCAAAAAGGGACAGCTTTCCTTCTGGGACAGGCATCATCAGGTATTGGAGGAGGACATCTCCAAGCACTTGCTGCATCCCAAGTATTCAGGTCATGGAGACTCCAGCAGGAAGGATGGTGCTGGGTCCTGCAGACAAGGCCCACCCTGTCCCTGCCATTAGATTGCACTGGACTTGCTGCGCCGGAGCAGGCAGACAGCAGTCACCAGAGACGTCAGGGTGGTGACCACAAAGAGCAGGATGAGGATAACCCAGTAGTTGTACAGCATGCTTTTGTGGGAAGAGGGCTTCTCTGCCGGGATCATGTTGGTGAGGTTCAACATGTAGCCCAGGGCCCAGCCGATGGAGGTTTCTCCTGCCTGTGGAAACAACTTGGCATGGTCACAACCCTGGCCAAACCAGCTCCATGAGCCTCAAAGAACCATCTCTGTGTCAGTCCAATGAAGGAGAGATCGGGGGGAATCCACAGCACCCTGAGCCCTTGCTTGCCATGTGTCCAGCCAGCCCAGAGATGAAGCAGTGTCCATCCTGTGCTGAACTGGGTTCACCCGATGGGAGCAGGATCTCGTCCGCTCAGGCCAGTCCTACTCTTGCTGCCCATCTCACAGCTTGTGCAGGTGAGGGCACTTGGCAAAGGTGGGATCCTGCCGTGAGATAACTTCCCAACAAGCCTGAGCAAACAGTTGTTTGAGATGGCTCATGTCTCAAGGGCCAAGGAAAGACTGGAGGACCTGACTCTATGACCACCCTACAGTCAGCTCAGCTCATTTTGGTTTTTTGCATCTTCCAGTAGGAAGAAAGTACCATCCTGCCCCTATTCCCTCACATTGTTTCACTCTTTCTTGGTGTGGGATCATCTCTCCTGCAAGGCTTTTTGGCCTAACTCCAAACAGACATCATACCATGCGTACGTGCTCTGGTGTTACCCACCTTCTTCTGGAAGGCAATGTTGGGGAAGGAATGGTTGTCAAAGTTGTAGCCTTTGGTGGTGAGCAAATAAACGAATGTGCTGACAGCGCAGTAATCCGCCAGTCTCTTCTCCAGTTTAGGGGCTTTCTGGAGCAGCTGGGTGGGATGCACGGAGGGACAGAGAAAAGGGGTCAAGCCGGTAGGGTCCAGGCTTTGTTTCTGTGGTCTGAAGCTCTAGGTGATTGCATCAGGCTGGGCAAGGTGCTGCCCATACCCAGCTGAGCCTCTCCTTGTCCCATGTGGGAGCTGTCACCCACCCTCCCCCTACTCCATGGGCGCCAGGACACCCAGCCACCTCCACGGGCTGCTCTCAGAGCCTGGGTGATGCCCCACACAAAAGCAGCCCTCTCCTCCCTACCGTGCCCAAGGAGCCCACCTCACTCCAGCTGGTGGCACAGATGGTCTTTGCAGCATCCTTCAGGTCGCTGGGCAAGTGCACAGGTCTCCCCATCACTGTCTGGATGAAGTCCACTGTGTAGAAGAAGGCAGAGAAGGCCTGACAGAGGAAAGGAGGCAGCTGTGGGACAGGCTTGAAGCAAAACCCTCTTGCCACACACAGCTGTTTTGTGGGCACAAGGAACTGCCCTTGGAGAGCCAAGGGTCTGGTATTGCTGCTGGGGGCACCTGCCCACCCAGAAGCCAGGAGACCACCCCACTACCTGCCAGGACTTACGATGAAGCTTCCCGAAACCTCTGGCTGGAAAATGCCATCGAAGGAGCAGCGGGAGAAGGAGCAGGTGGTGAAGTCGAAGAGCTTGCTGACATGTAGAGCACAGAGGCTGCTGTTCCCGGTGCCGATCACAGTGACAGTGGTGTTGAGGGCAAGGTTGGGCCTCTCCTTCACCGTGCAGGGGCTGTCATAGACACTGCTCAGTGACAGGCTCTTGTCATAGCCGGTGGGCCAGCAGGGATGGCGGACAGTTGGTTGGTAGCTCTCAGCCTGCCAGAGAAGTGACACATGGGACTCATGAGCCATGCCATAGTCCCGGGTTCTCCAGTGCTGCGTGGCACCCGGCACTGCTGCCTGCCTGCTTCCATTTTCCTGCTGGGGAGATGTGGAGGAGCTTGGGCAGCGGGATGCAGAGCTGGTAGTTGCCACAAGTGTCTCAAAATGACTCAGGACATCTTGGCTCTGGCTGAGGAGTGCAACACCTTATGAAGAGGGTAGGAGGAAGCCCTGAGACCATGGGAGAGGGTCAGGGGGCAAAACCCAGAAGTTGGCTGGGAAAGGTGTGCAACTGGCCCTGTGGGACTGTCCTAGAGCCAGGGCTGGGGGACACCTCTGTATAAACACCAGGGTAAGGGGGCAACCATGGGGTGAGGACAGCTGGCGTCCCTGTTGAGCACATGCCGGTACCTGGAGGACCTTTGAGAGCAGCCTCTTGAGAACCTGGTCCCTTCCGTAGCAGAGGAAGCTGTGGGTGTACACTTTGTATGCCTGGCCATACAGCTTCAGCATCACCTCATTTCTGGGGTCTTCGATGGTGTCCCTGGTTTCAAAGGTGATCTGTGTGGAAGCTCCCCCAAAGTCCATGGCTCCCAGGGTCTTCTTCTGGGGCTGGATCCATTCCCCGAGCCACCCGCGCTGAACAAGGAAGACAGGAGCAGGCATAAGGATGTGATGAGCTGCAGGAGGGCCTGGCCACCACAGCCATCCCAGCTGGGTGCCACACTTCCCTGCCTACCTTGATGAAGTTCTCCAGGAGGTAGTTTGCAGTCACCCATCCGAAGACCCCTTCCTCTTCCCCCGACAAGATCTTTGACCCTCGGAAATCAAAGGGGTATGACTTCAGCGTGGCAGCCACAGCGCTGAGGACGGCATCTGAAGCCTGCATGTTCGCGATGCTGCAGGGCAGGCAAGAGGACAGGGTGGCAGAGCTGTGCCAGGGTGCTGCCAGAGGAGACCCCGCTGCCCACACAGCCCTCGAGGCCTGGCCCCTCCCCTGACCCTCCCTGACCACCTCCATAGCACATGGGCAGTAGGCAGGTGGGTTCTTGCCCGGACACCTGTAGGGATGTCCCCCCAAAACCTCCAGCTCATTTCATTCCCCATGTCTCTGCCAGAGAAGGAGGTAGGCGACAGGGATGGAGGTATGCTAGCTCCCAAGCCATACCCTGTGGCTGAGTGAGGGGGACATGACTCCCTCCTCTGTGCGGTTTTTGGGGGATCATTATTCTCACTGCGTCCCATCAGGTGGCAATGGGTGCAGGGAGACTTTCTTTCTGGCTAGCGAAAAAGACTGGGTGGGTTATCCTGGTGCTGGCCCCACGCTGGCCCCTTTTCAGGTGGGGATGTGCTGGCTGTGCCCCACAGGGCATCTCCTACTCTGGAAGGCACCTCTGCAAGGGACATGGAGCCAGGCAGCTTGGGAGGGTTAGGAGCTTTGCCTGGCAAAGGGGCAACATGGCAGTTGTCCTTTGCCATCTGCACCCCTGCCATGGGTGGCGAAGTGGCAAGGTGACATGGCAATGCTGCCCAGGCAGCATTGGAGACCAGGCAGCTGGCGTGGCCAGAGCAAGCACTCACTTGAGCAGGCGCATGCCGGCTGTGGCACCCAGGTAGAGCGGGGTGCCTGCATGCTTCTCCTTGGGCACATCTCTCAGAGCCTGGTTCAGGCAGTGCACCAGGCTTGTCCCAGCAGCTGGAGGGTTGGAGCTGTAGCTGGAGATGCCAGGACCTGCAGAGAGGAAACAGCATTGCTCCCTGCAGGTGGTAGGAAGATTCCCACCCTGCTTGGTGGGAAGATGCTCTTTGGGCAGCTTTGCCCCTCCCAGACGGTTCAAAAGACAGGGGCTGCAGGTTTCTGTGGGCATGGAGCCATCCAGAGCCCAGGCACATCTCCCTGCCCATGCTGCACCCCCCACGGGCTGACAGCCAAGGAAAGGTTGCTTAAATAAAGAGTGGAAAACCATCCCTCGCTGGGCTAGGCAGGGAGCTGAATTGTTTCCTGCCAGGAAAAGATAAACTACAGGCATGCACGGCTTCAGGCCTTGGGGTGAGATGGAGGTTTTGGGAACAGAGCTGGACCCCTTGTAACACCACAGTGTGCTGGTGAACACACAGGGAGGCAGCTGGGCATGCCAGGGGCATTCGCACCATCACAGTGATCTGCCCACAGGGGACCTGACAGACCCTGCCACCAGCCACTGGCTCCCAGGGACTGGGATGGCCCTTACCCTCCACATCGCACATGCTGTGCTCACTGACCACCCCGGTGTCATTCTCCTTGTCTGCAGGCCACTTGTAGATGAACATGGCTGTGTGGGAGGACCCGGCGTCCAGCACGATGCCATACTGCGGGGGGAAACGCAGTGGGTCAGGCCGGGGGCAGTAAATTTCCCAGCTGCCCCAGGCCATCCTGAGGGACGACACTGGGGATCAACAACCCACTGTGCCCAGCCCATCCTGCCCCAGCAGTGCCCTCCCCGGCAGCTTCAGGAGCATTGCCCACGTCTGCCTGCACCAGCCTCTGTGCAGGGCATGGCTGGGAGTGGGAGCTCTGCCCCACTGGGGACACTGGCAACCCCAGGACACTGCTGGGCACAGCACACGGACTCCGGCTTCTTGGGCATGGTGGCCCCCTTCCCTCCTTTAGCACAGACAGGGAAGCTCTCCCCCAGCCCCATACACCTGCTTGCTCCTGTCTCCCTGCAACATCCTTCCTGGGCAGCGGGCATCTGTGCTGAGCCATGCCAGGCATCCCTGGGGCCAGCAGGGGGACAATGGGGGGACACCTGGGAGTGGCCCCTCAGGGATGCAGCTCACCAAAGAAGGGCAGCCAGGCACCTCATCCCTCCTGCCCTTGTATGGCTCGGCCATTCTCCGGCTATAAATAACCCCGCTCCCTCCTGCCAAACAAGGTTACCCAGCTCCCAGGGAGGGGCCACTCAGTGCTGCCTTCAGCCCCCCCCC